ATAATGCAACAGTATGTATTGGCGCTGTTCAAAAATAGCTATATTAAGGTCTAATAAAAGACCATCCAGTTTTAAAAATTTTAAATGACATGTAATTGTTTTATGTAATACATTTAAATAGCATGAATAGCTAAGAATATTATTTATTAATTTTAAGACGTTTTGTTTTAAGTGTATATTTCATATTTTTGACTTATATAATATTAATTGCACATTTTTAGTAAAGCAAATGCATATTTTACAATTTTTTTATTGCACATAAATCCTAGCCCTAGTAATAAGCTAAATTTCTGGATGTTTTGGTATTAAACTGGTTATAACTGAATTGGTAAAATTAATTGTATGATCTATTAATGCACTATAAAACTTGTTTTAATCAAAAAATATAAATAATAATAGGCATTAATAAAGCATGGTATATAATACTTATTTAATTTATAAATATAAAATATGATTTTTTGGCTACAGTACTTAGTATAGTGTTAAATTGATCTTTGGCATGTTATTTTTGTGCTTTAGTTAGTTAATGAAAAAAACAACTGTTAATCTATATTTAGTAACAAAAAATCAACAGTAAATTATTTATTAAGTACTTTAAATTTTCAAATTATATTTAATGATTTTTATACTTCTAATTAGGAATAAAATATATTATTTTTATTGTATGATTTAAATTTAATAAGTATTAAATTATATTTCTTAGAATTAGAAATTGGTTATTTCAATTATAATTGTGTATAGAGAACGAACTAAAACCAAGTAGTATAATAATAATATACAATCTGTACACAGTAGAAAATTACTTACAATTCTAGCAACAAATAATGTTTTGAATGGATCTGTTGTAGCATTTGCAACTGAATGTGGTTCCCCTAAAATAGATTAAGAACAAATGTTGATTCATATTTTAAATATTTTGTATAAACAAAGAAGGCATTAATCCTATGCTTACATAAAGCAATTTCTTGCTCTAACTTGTATGCCACCTGTTCAGCCTTCTCACGGCGACGGCGCTCAAGTCGTTCTTCTCGGGTTTCAATTTTTGTAGGAGGAGGAGTGTCTTCAGGGTCCTTAGGAAAAACAAAATTACAAAATTAGAATGGGAAAGTAAAAAAAAAAAAAAAAAAAAAAACACTGGTAAGACTTAATCCCAATGCAAAATTTTGCCATACTCACTTCGAACAAATCCATAAAACTCCCAACGCCAAGATAGCCACGGGTTTTCTTTTCGTGTGGTAATTTGGCAACCGGCGGTAAGTAAGGGATAGGGTCCCTCGGCGCAAAAAGCGCCAGCAAATTGGGCGGCAGAAATTGAGTCATCGTATTAAGTTCCAATTACTTGTGGTTCAACGAATAACTTCAATGGTTATCGGCGATTAATCGCCAAAGCAAGCCATTGGTGTAAGAACCGAACGACAAAAATATAAGATCAACAATTATTTACGAGTTGTTATTACTAACTAGTCAGGCCGTTTCCGTCAATGAAACATCGATAATCACTCATACACTATCACAAAAAACACACAGTAGATTATTACTTTGAGCATACAAAGTATTCACATGTAATAGAGTACACAGACAGAATAACGGAACACTCAACACATTAAGATTAAATGGTTAACATTGAATGACGAGTAAAACGAGTAACAACGGCACTGAAGAACTAAAGTCTACGAAAACCAACTATTTAGATATAACTATACGCAGTAGTGAAGTACACACAACGCTATTAAAAACATAAATGGTCGACCATTTTAATCAAAAGTCATGGAACAAAAAAACTAATAAACACAAACTGTACATCAGATCACTATATTTTGTTCCACAATTTCTTTCCTAAATCAACTTGTTCCAATTTATTTATTTCCGAATTTTATATTTTTCCAATTTACATTTGTTCCAAAGCATAAATTTGTCGAAAGAAATTTGTACTGATGGAATATTTCTTCCAATTATATTTACGTACACCTTAGTTTCAATGAATGTTTATTCTATAATTTATTTGTTCCACGGGAATTGTTAATTAGTTGTATAAAATATTTGAAACGTGTTCTTTCGCACACACAAATATTTAGGTATAATAATTAATAAATATTTATCAAATTATCATACATATCTGTGTTCGCACATGATAGGTTTTGCTTACTTGAATTTAATTGATTAAAGATTAATAAAATAATAAATGTGCGGGAAAATATTTGAACTACCTACATGTAGTTTTCTTATAAGTTGAACTTAAACAAAAAAAAAAAAAAACAATTTTTTTAAAAGTGTTTGAATTTTAATCTTTAATAAAAATCACGAAGACTTAACATACAATATTCTTCATAAATTTCTCTTACAACATTCTTAAAAAAATTAATATACCTAATGTACACAAAATGTCTACCTATTTGTTAAAAATAATTTTTGTAACAATCGATGTTATTTAAAAAATATTTGTAAGAATAAATAAATAAATTGACTAATAAATCAGTGCACCAAGTACAAAACTGTTGATAAAGTTATTATTGAGGTATGTTATAATTTTAAAAATTAAGTTTTTAAATATTGATGACTTCAAAGTAAGGGTCAAAAAAGTTTCAAATTTTGTAATTATTAGATTTTGTTTTAAGTATAGATTTGTGTTAATCCTTAATCTTGTATATAGAGTTTAAAGAATGACTACATTTTTAAGCTTCAGTTAAGGTTTTTTGAATTATTAAAAGATTATAATTTTTTTTTTTTTTTTAATATCATCAGAATTTAAACATAACATTATGTTTGCATGAAAATATTCATTTACCTAACTAAAACTTAAAAGTCAATTTAATTTATACGATTAGAAGATATCGATATTAATTTTAACATTTTCGATTAAATATTTTTTTTCAATTCGTCAATTTTGTTTTGTGAATACCTACTTAGTTTTAAATTCTTAGGTTACAATTATAATTTGATTTTAGAAATATAAAAATAGAATTTTTAACTTTCAGTTGGTTTTCACTAAATATGTTTCGAGCTTCGTATTTTATAGGTACCTATCTATTTCAAATATTTCAATTTTAATTTTTCATTCTTTTGAAATTATCATTAATAATAATTGATATAATCAAAAAATAATAGAAAAAAAATAAAATGGCGAACATTATTTACGTCTTCCAGTTGATAACTTGAAATTTCACAATTTTTAAGACATTTAAGTATAGGTATGCACTTTTATCATAAACGACATAAACTAATGCCTGGTTGCACGAACGTTCATTAAATATTTAATGAATCAATAGCGCGTTTTTGAATGAGTTATAAGTTATTTATCCACTTAAAATATATTAAGCGATCAATAGCACGATTAAATCATGAAACATTTGATCATCGGTTAATTAAACTAAATATTAATGTCTAATGATTCTCTTACAGATTATTAAATTATAGTCAGACATTAAACTTATCATTCTGATTTAATATCTATTCAAATTCGAACAGCTAAAAAGCTGCCATTACATTTTTCGAGTTTAAACTTCAATACAATTTTTGATATTATGTTTAAAATCAATATATTTTTATTCAATTGTTTGTGAAAGCTTGCACGGGTGCAAGGTACCACTCAGCTCAATAAAAATAAATAATGATTCGATGAATCCATTATTTAAATAAATTTAAAAAATGGTTTTAGGCAACCCGGCATACATTTTTAAGCAGTTAATAAAAAAATTAAATTTGATCTATGTCATATTGTGTGAGACTGCATCACTGCGAGTATTTATTACGCTACTTGGGTACTATAAAGTATAAACACTTCAACTTGAATCTCAGTTTTAATATTTTTTTTTAAATTTCAAATTATTTCTTCACTCGAGTAATTAATTTTAGGTTTGAAACTTTGAAATAAAAAACGTATTTGACATTCAGATTCTTGACCATGTATCTACATAGATAATAGAAGAATCATAAACACAATACACGATTCAAGTCGTTTTAAGATAATTTTATTATATCTTTATAATACGACCATGAATAGTTCATATACAGGCCATATTATTATCAAATAAGACAACAATAAAAATAAGTTTAAATTATAGAAATTATTAAATTATGATTTATAATATAAGAAGTCTATAACTCTGAGGAACCTCCAAAAATTCAAACCTTTATAAATTTTAAATGTTTATCTTTATGTCACTAAACCCTTCTATTTTTCTATAGTGTAGTAATATGTCAGTAATCGTATTCTACATCATGACGTCAACATACTAACAATATCCGCATTTGATTCCAATCATTATAATACCTATATTTCATAAAAACTCCTTCGACCACATAAATCCCTTCATACCCACTCATCTCTCGTATAGCATCTGACGACCTTCTCCGTCGCCTCAAACATAAATGTCTACATAATCTATAAAAACTTACTCCTCCAAGTTTATAAATAGGAAATAATGTCGCTTCCGTCACGTATTCCAGTCTAGTACAAATTTTTAACTTATTTACTTAGGTAGGTATTGTATTTTTTCGTATACACTACTAAGTGGTAAGTGGTAAGGCACCCACTTGCTGCTTAATTATCAATCGTGTAAGTGGGCATAAATATTTTAGACATTATATTTAAATTTTATTTTTTTTCTTGAGTGATTTTCTTTAAACAGGACTCTTTGTTAACAGTCGACTCAATCGGGAATTAATTATTATTGTTTATTAATTATTATTTATTACCTATAGGCTATATAGCCGTATTGCTTGTAGTTTTTGTGAATTAGAGATTTTAGTATAAATACGACGACAGATGATTAACCTAATCAGTAATCACCTAAATTACAGAATACATTTAATTTCATCTATTCAACATTCATATTATGAATTTATTTTTATTAAAATTTAAATTGTGTATCAGATAACGGATATAGATAATAAATAATGTTTGATAATCATAGCCGTGATACGAGCTTTTGAGGTTATGTTTGAAACTAACGTAATGACGATTAAATATTTTGATTTTTGATCAACTAATAACAATAAAATTTGTTTTACTAACAGTATTCTCTCAAGTCAAAATATTTTCAGGAGTCAATTACTACTTAAAAGTAAAACTTTTTACCATGGATATTAAACATAATAACTGGATTCCTGGAAACTTTAAGAGTGTCCCCAATACTGGACATACAGGTTTGTTGAAATTATATTTTCCTATATCTAAATCATAGTTTTTAATTTGATCGACTTAAAAATGCAAATAGTTTCAAAATTACTTTAAGATACTGAAGTAAATAAAAAACCAAGTTTGTTTGTGTTGAGATTTTTTTTGAACGTAAATGATTATCAAATGTGTTGCAATGTTAAGTGCAACTACCAATTAATTGTTCTCTGGAAACATTAAAAATATGATTTTTGATGTTTGTAATTAAAATATAGTGACTATAATGTAATTATTTATTTGATTTGTAAAAAAAATAATTATAAAATATAAGCAGTCCAATTAATTTGAGTGATGTAACAATGTATCTTTACTATTCCTAGTTTTAATACCATAAATGTATGAGTACCTATTAAAATTTTGTGCTAATTTCAAGCCCGGATTAAGATGATTTTAGGCCCATAATCTTAATCTAAATATTGATAACCCACAAATAATTATATTTTAAAGACAAAAAATAAACATACTATCCACCAGGAATCCACTATTATTTGATATCTGTTGTGGGCCTTGGGCTAAAGTTCAGCCTTAATCCAGGTTTAACTAATTTAATGTATATCCCAATGAATCGATCAGATATCATATTTTTATTTTTAATATATTTAATTATTATAAAAAAAACAGATAAAACTATAATATGCATTTTTATCTTTTAGTTGAGAAACTTACAATTTTAAATTAAATTAAAAAATGTAAAACGTTTTTCCTCCACTAATCTGTGTTCTAATTTGATATTTGCTAGGATAATAAGAGACCACTTTATATTAATAAATATTAGATAGTTCTATCTCACTTAAGTATTACATTAATTATTTAATAAATAAGTTGTTTATCAAATAATTTATTTTTGATTTTTAGCACATGATATTGTACAACATGGTTGGACACCAATCACAACTACTACTTCGGTTCTTGGTGTTGTCTTTGACTCTGGTGTAGCTTTGGCTGCAGATACACTTACATCATATGGTTCAATGGCATGTTTCCAGAATAATCCCAGAATATTGACGGTATGATAATTTTATATGCATGTTCTCTGTTCAATAGAAGCTTATGCTGACTGTGCATTTTCATGAATTACCCTGCCTCTGAGACTGGCTTCATTTTAGCAGGGTGTCATGTAGATATGTGCAGAATCTAATTTTATTTGATGTGTTTTCTCGCTGAACAAAGTATAATGTCTTGATCATTATAAGCTAAAAGATTTATTTTATAATCTAATTATTGATTAATTGAACACGATTCTGTTGAATTAACAGGTAAATCAAAATATTATTGTAGCTGCAGCGGGTGAATATTCTGATTATCAATTTATTCGAGATGTTGTTGAAGATAAAGTGAGGACTGAAAAGAGTCTTAATGATGGAATATCAATGAAACCAAAAGCTTTACATACTTGGTTGTCTCGTGTATTGTACAACCGCAGGACTAAGATGAAGCCTCTCTGGTCCACATTCTTAGTGGCTGGAATCCAAAATGATGTTCCCTTTTTGGGTGAAATCGATAAGTTAGGAACTGCATTTATAGATGATCAAATTGCTAGTGGCTATGGTGCATATCTTGCATTACCATTGATGCGAAAAGCTATTGATGAAAAACGTGAAAAATTCAATTCTAAACTAACAAAAGATGAAGCTATCAATTTGCTTAAAAATTGCATGGAAGTATTGTATTACAGGTATTTAAACAAAGATTTTTATATGTTTCTAAATGTTAATGTTTACCTGTTGTTTTTTTTTTTATAAACATTCATTTTAATCAAATATTCATACACTTTATTAGAGATGCGAGAAGCCACGATAAATATCAAATTGGTATTATTACCAAAGATTCTGTTGAAGTACAAAATCTCGTGTTGAAGCCAAGATGGGAAATTGCCAAGCTGGTACAAGGATACGAATAAACTGTTGGAAGTCTTATATAACATACAATTTTGTCTTATCATTATTTTGAAATAAGGATCACGTTTATAAAGGGATTCATTTTTTTTTTTGCTAATAAAACATTTTCTTGGAAAATATTCTGTAAATTATTTTTTTTTTTTATAATTCTATTCAGTATATACTACAGGTCTTGATTTTTAATATAAAGTATTGAATGGTAAACAGACACTTTGTACTATTGTTTAAGTTGCATACTGAGAACAGTATGCAACTTTATACAGTGAAATAGAATTGGAAAAAGTCAATCGCGGACACTTTGTACGGTATAAATAAACCGGGAAATATATTTTACAAGATAAAATAAGATTAAATCACAAATTGTGATGGCAATCAGTATGAGACATGAACTTGGTGACACAGCAGAATATAACCATACACTAAAATACACTATGAACCAAAACCAAACTACTAACTAAATCCAAATATTTTTAAATATGGGTGTAAATATACTATTTTAAAAATAAATAAATCAAATATTTGTGGAAGGTGTTTAAAAATGACTAATACGAGTAAAATTACTACAAACCTTTATGAAGTGGTGAGTTATAAATTATAAATCATATTATTTTCATAATATATCAGAATATGTTTGTTATAAAGTATGAATTACTTATAAAATGTACTGATCATAATTATGATCTAACTGTTAAAAATATAATATTGAAGCTGAAAAACTTTGTACTAATATCAAAAGCCGACCTATTAATAGTAGAGAATCTGTTAACGACCTGTGTTTTGTAATGACAAATTATGTATACATTTTTTCTACCTGAATTAGTACTAATTGTACGCTAGATTGATTGTTGTTACTGCTTAAAATAGTATGAATTGTTGGTGGTTTTAATTTTTTTTTTGGTGAACCTACAAAGTATCTCACAACCTATTAAATACTAAAACCAAATAAACGTAATAGCTAAAGATAAGTTTGGATTAAATCAATGAGGTACCGAGTTAGGAGTTCCTTTAATTCATGCTAAAACTAAAAATTCTAAAAGAAATAAAGCATAATTTTTCTTTAAAGACATTTGAATTTCAAATTTGGATAAAGAACCACAATTTTTTATCATTAACTTATTTATACTGTATTCAGTAATATTGACTAAAATACCTTTTGTACAGCAGAGCAGTATTCACTTGCTCATTATTGTTTTGTTCCAATTTGCTAACAGAAACCAATTTTTAAGTTGAAAATTAAACCATTTTTATTGACCCCAAAAGGTGATAACGAACATAAAAATAAAAAACACACTACTGTCAAATGAATACATTAATTCTCCGCTCAAAATCAAAAATTAAAATTCAATAAATATTAAAACATTATTTTTTATTTTAAAATTAGTGATTATATATTTAAGATAATGGCAATACGCCACATGATAGGAGTTCATACATTAATCTCACAAAATATATGCTTAATTTAACTAGACATAATAGCTGTTAAAAATAATGAATAAAATAAATAACTTACAAATAATTAAAATTAAAGTATATTTAAAAAAAATTATGTTTCTCTGATAATCAAAATAATGATAATAATATAATATAGATTATTATGGAATCGATTATATTATAAAAAACAATGACAGTGGTAGATATTCAATATCACTGATGAAAAAATAGAAGAAAGAATTGAATGAAGTTTTTTTAATTTTTAACTATCAGTGAAAAATAACAATAATAACAAATTGAAAAATCTACTCAATAACATTTAATTGAGAATAGTATGACGATCATAGATATTTTTTCTTTGTTCTTTCACCTGTTTTTTCCATTTGTCTTGTTGATGTCCAAATCTGTTGAGGACATTACTACTGTTAGCTACAGAAACCATTGGATCGCTTCCTCCCCTTGCATTTAATGAAACAGCTGGTGGAACATCATCCTATATTCCAAGATAATTGGTAAAAAAATGTTTATTTGTTAATGTTAATATAAATAAATTAAAAATATATGCACTTAATAATTTAAATGAGAAAATTGATACAAACACATGCACTAAATTATTTAAAAACAAAATTTAATAATTATTTTGAACTCAGTATTTGCAGCATAATATTCAACATTTTGTCATTAATATTTTTATAATAGGGATTGAGTGGCCCATATTGTGCAATGAACACATCTATTTTATCCAGAAGTGAACATAAGTAGCAATATCAAGCACACTGATCATGATGACTAACTTAAATTTTATTTATAATATTGATTTATCATTTGACAAGCAAGGCAATATAATTATAGTGATAAAAAATCTGGTGTATTAATCTAATGACAGAAGAAAACAAATTAAGCACAACAATACAAAACTCAAGTATGTCCAACAACAAAAATATTTACTGTGTAAACCATATCTTTTGATGCATTTTTGTAATTTTTCCAATTTATTTTGAAATGACCATGTCAAAATACTTTTGCATATCACGGAATTGTAGGAAATAACAGTTGTTCGTTATATATTTTGTAAGAAAAATTGGGAGAGAATTGGTTGGACTTACAAAACTACCGCTATCGGACATGGTCGCCTCCAATAAAGAACATACCTCTTCGTTGGTGTGCTCTACATATGCGCCAACAAGCTTGCGTCTTCTCATCATTGGCTCCAGGCATAGCAGGAAAAACATGTACATCACCAAACACGATATCACACACAGCACAATTAATACAACTACCTAAATAATATATGTAACAATTAATAACGTGTTCAATATAAGTTGGACTAACTAGTTACTTTCATAGTTGTAGTGTTTCTACTCTCATAAGTACAAGTGCACCGCGGACATAATTCTTTTTTTGTATTATTCACTTCACCAATAATTGGTAAACTTACTCCATTACAATCACTGAAAAATTCAATAATTATTGTTAATGTCATAAATAACCTAGGTATTAACTCACTTGCTAGGAAGAACATTAGCTATAAATAATTTATTATACATTTCTGTACCATTCACTATAGTACAAACACATTTGCAACGAGCATCTTCATATGATTCAGCCTGAAAAATATGTTAGCTAATAATATGTAGAAGAAAAAATTTGGTTTATAAACATTTTTCCTAGTTATTTAGTACCTACCTATCTTATTGTATTTAAATATGTAATAGCTTGGGTGTTATATACTACATATAAATATTATAAATTAATGTTTATTTACTTCTTTATTCTCTATCATACTTGATTTATTTGTGTACATAACAGATGGAAAAAAATAATATTGTATATTATCCAAAAGTACTTTGTTAAAAAAAGTTAAACAAAACATTAATTTTCCACATTTTTTGGAAGAAATAAACAAAAAGAAAAAAAAATTAAATTTTGGATGAAAGCATAGCAGCACTTATATTTATATATTTCATATGCTATGTATTAAATTTATTTATCTATTATTTAAGTTCAATTTAATCAAATGATATAAGTAAAAGTATTATAGTATACATAACTAGGACACCTGATTAGTTGAACTATCAATTTGAATTTATAATAGAAAATTAGAACTAATGTCTATTAAAATATGATATCAAAATAGTTGATAAATTATGATAGATAGATTTTACTTATTGTGGTGTTTTTACCCTTTTTTTTTTGTTGTGATTTTTGGTACACAGTATTTATTTCACTGAATATTGATTTATTAAAAAATCAGTAATCAAAACAATTATTTGTTGTTTAATATTTTTTTCTCATAACAATAGCAAATTTTAATCATTACCTATAATTTTAAGATTTAAAATCAAAGTATGTTCATTTTTATATCTTACAAATTAGGTATAGAGAATTGACCTCTTTGTTGCTCCTAATCTTGAAGAATTGCTTACTTAAATTCAAGATAAAAATATTTACAAAATTAATAAATAAAATTCAAAGAACAAAAACCATATACCTAACATTATTAAAAGTTTAATTAATAGTGTTGTTTTTTTAACACTATTAAGATTTGTAATTTTTAAACAACTTTTGAAAATGTAAATAGATAATTAAAAATAAACTCATTTTTAGGTAATTGCTTATTTTAATACCTATTTTTAATTTTGAACATGTCCAGAGCTCTTACTAAAAGATACTATATACTTTTTACAATAATTACTATTTAATAATAAATGTAAATTTTTGTAACAGTATGTGAACTTCAATGTCTAAAATTATCATATAAAATACTTACCTTCAACGAGGTGATCAATGATAATACGCCCACTATGACAGGAATCTTAACCATTTTGCGTAAAACTATGCTAATATATGTTACGTTTAACAGTGAACGATGAAAAAAAAAGTCTTGAGCATAACAATTATTATTAAATTGTATTAATACATCGAAAATTCGATGACAGCTAAAATAATAATAGGATAACCGATGTCTTTGAACACCAACTGATGATCAATCCTGGCTGCTTAATACATCAAAAGGATTTAAGATTACGGTTAACATTTTTATTAGTTGGACGTTTTGTTAACGCGAATAATAGCGGAAAATTTATGAAATAATTAGGTTCTACTGGAACCAAATAGATAAATACTAATTATTAGTTACTATTTACTAAGTATACAATAAATTTTAACATTTAACATCCGTCATCAACAGTCGACATGTGTACGAAACTATGAAGATATCTCTGGAGTTTCGAATCTCGATATTTGTATATAATTCATAGTAGTAGATTATAATAAAGAAAAACTTGTGACAAAATATTTTTAATTTTGCCATTTATCACTTCTGAATCAAAGTTTTTGATAAGGCAGTAACCACATACCATAGAGGCATAGAACATAATATTATTATTATTACGGCTATACCACAGTTCACAGACCCTATGCAATTTATTGACGGGACAATGAACAATAAAATTATAAACTTGTTTTGCCATCTAGTAATCCATAAGATTATTTTTTTTTTATAGTATTAATATTATTAATGATATTGTTTCATAATACTTAAAATAGATATAATAGAGCTATAATACCTATTACCTACCATAGAATATAGAATAGATACCTATTAGTTGTGGACTGCGGTTGTGTAGTTTCTGAACAGTCTCCAATAATTCACGCATACTTTTCCTTGACTTTGCATATTTGAAATTAATTAAGGAATATTCTTAAAAATGATATAACTGAAAGCTAAATTAAAATGAACTTATTATTATTGTTATCCATATGATTACTGTTTAATAGATTTTTAAGAATGTATTTATTTGATACGTCTTGTAGTTTTCTTGATGCTTTTTCTTCTTCATCTACGTACAGTTCTAGAAAATATTAGATAATATTAAACAAGATATTTTTACATATTTATATATTTATTATGTTTTTTTTTTTTTTTTATTATTAAAAATAAGCTTCGACAACTATGGCCATTGGCATACATTTATTATAGTATAGTATAAATAAATTTTAAATTAAAAAAAAAGATAAATACCTAGGTACCTATTTAAATAATTTAATTGTGCGTATAAAAATATCACGAACAAGTAAAAAGGTGTATATAAATATGAATATACCATATCTTTTATTAATAAATAATAAAAAAATAGCTAATAAAAATTGGAGTATACTCTATTTAGGAACGAATAAGTTGTATTCAAAAATGGAAAAATTCTATTCTCCAAAAACATTAATATTATGATGTTATAAATATTATAGTTGAATTGATATAGGCGTTATAGCTATAATACTTTTTATACTAGTGTATGAGGAAGATTGAGCAATTTTTGAATTCAAAAGTTATTGACTTTCTTTTTTATTGTAGAGACGTAGAGTAGTAAAAATTATCGTAAAATAGCTAAAATATTTTTAAAGATTGTGTATTGCAAGAAAAATTAATAAAAAAATTCCATAGTTAGTGTAGTAAAGTTTTTAACTATAGAGAAGGCTACTAGTAAAAAGCCGCTTGGAAGATTATTTTAAAAAGATTCATCCAGATTTACCATGGACGTACATGCCTCCAACCCCATCCAATCAAAATGTTGGCATTTTTTTAAAGTCTACATTAAGCAGTCGATTGGCAAAAATTTGTAAGAATATTATTACAGTTTGCAAGACATTAGTTTAATCATAAATCAAAAAAAAAGTTGTAAGTTAAAACTAAGAATATTAGGTATCTAAAGCACTTTATAGGTGCAAAAAATTACATCACATATATTATTAATTATTATATTATGATTTTCGTATTACCCGTTTTACCAATACAATGTATTCCATTATTGTAATAAACATACACTAGTACAGTAGTACAACATTCCTGATGGGTAATGGATGTAGAATGTTACCAAAATTCAAAATCTTAAAAATGGTTCACTTTCAACAGCTATTTAATAAAATTGGTTTATTTATCAAAAGTACCCGAGAATTGGGTAATGATTTTTTTTTTCTAAAAGGATATATAATATTAAGGTTACTATATTTTAATAAAATAATAATATTGTTTTAAATTATATATTATTTAATTTATTTTATGATTTTGATATCTTTATAAATGTATTAACATTAGAATATACAATAGCATATGAAAATATTGTATTTATTCATTCACTATAAATGCCTTGCTTACATAAAATTGACAAATTTAGTACTAAATTAATATAAATGTATTTAATATGAATAATAAATCTGTTTGAGGTCCAATATAATTCACATAATAAAATAAAATTATATATCTATAGTTAAAAATGTAAATTTAAAAAATAAATATGTTTATTATAAATTAAAGTATCATTTGTTTAAAAATTAAACAGTAATATAATAGTTTACACATATCAACAAAGACAACTATAACTTAAAAATAATCAACATTAAATATATTACATAATATAACATAGAACATAGGTAACATGAAAAATATATCACAGGCAATATAATTATAAGAATAAATTGTACCTATTTATCAAATATTTAATATACAAACAAGTATGTATAAGTTATATTTAATAGTATGAATAAGCTTTGATTAGCAACAAAACTTACTAATTTTCAGATCTATAACTAAAATATAAGATTAATTTTAAAATAATATTTTTCTCTACCTATAATATTTTTTATAAATTTTAAGATATACTATAAGTAAGAGTAATGTATTTAAATAATAATGTTAAATGTGCATATTATTATCATATTAGTCAATATAAAACATATTTATTGAAAAATCATTGTTTATCCATTATAATTATAACTTTAGTAGTAACTCACGAAAACAATAATTATTTAATTTTCTTATAAAATACAATTACTATTAAATAATAAGAGGAATGTATTTAAAATTGTAGGTTTAACTAATGATTGAGTCATTAATGACTTTATACATAAAGTTATATTGAAATTAAAAATATATATCATAAAATATACAGATAAGTGACTTTTAAGTTTAGTGTAAATATAACTATACACTAATTTTACTTTTTCGAATACACTTTGTGACTAACACATTTTCAGACTTGGAACTTAATTAAGATTCATTTATGATAATATTATCATAATCTAGTTCTGGAATGTCAGTTGAAAATTCTGTTGTAGTTGACAACAAAAATTGATTTAATGTTCTTTCAGTGCATTCAGCAATGAACCTTAAAAATGGTCTAATGTCTCCCTTATTTGCAAATTCTAAAGTTCGATAATACCTAGAGTAGAAAAATAAATTTAAAAAATAAGATATTTTAATAAATATTAAAATATTAAATTTACTTATGTCTTTCTCCTTTTGGTATAATAACTGGTGGATAACCAGCTTGCATTAAAATCATATTCATCAGCAAACGTGAAGTTCGTCCATTACCATCAGTAAATGGATGTATATGTACTAATTTGTAATGTGCCAGAGCTGCAAATCTTACGGGATGTAGTCTGAGAGTAGATTCAGAATTGAGCCATAAAGAAAAATTTTCCATTAACGTTCCAATATGAGACGGACCTGGAGGAACATGGCCACCAACAAATACCTAAGGAAGTTAATATCAATAAAAACTTGTTAATAAAATACTAATAGTGTTATACATACTTGCGTTTGACGAAAAACTCCACTTTCTAAAGGATCAACAAATCCCATTACTCGTTTATGAATTTCCAAAATATCTTCAACAGATATACTACCAAGTCGATTGATTAATGTTGCATTTATATATTTAAGAGCTGCTTCTAGACCTATTATCTCATTGTGTTCAGCAATACTTCTACCACCAATGGCCATTCTAGTTTCTAAAATAGATCTAGTTTCTGATAAAGACATTCTATTTCCTTCAATGCCAACAGTATGATAAATGTGCTAAAAAAATATCAGAAATTAAATAAGTTTTTTTTTTTTTAATTGTTTAAGTTTTAAATTTTAATGGTTCTATTTTCTAGAGAAATATACATGCGATCATAATTACATTATTATGAATAAATGTAAAATAAAAACATAAATAAATAATAGTTGTAAGTTATAACAAACATTAAAATTTTAAATATCTGTAATTAACTATGCTATATTACTATACTATTTTTATCATTATAATTGTTTAAGTTTTTTTTTAAATTCTTAAATCACAGTATATATTATTTTTATATTCCAAAGAAAATAATTTAGGGATTTTGGTATACAAATATTGGTTATTAAATCAGCAGTTAACTTATTAAACATTTTTAAATTTAAAATAAATATAGTCATACATCAGAAATAAACTATTGATTCAATATTTGATTTTTATACATTGAAATACTCAAAAAAATATTTTACTTCAAAAAATAAAATAAAAATGTATGTCAATTACAGATGTATAGGTGTATTTTTCCTATTGCATCTTAAAAGTATTGCAAAGATACATTGATATTTTAAAGCAAACATTTTTATTTATATTTAATGAATGATAGTACCTAACAACATACTTAACATACCTATACAGTATACAATTATTTTTACATTCATTATGAAATTCACAATCTATACAATAAATAAGTATATATGATGGTAATAATTAAAATATATTCATTATATATACAAAAACATATTTTTTTTAAAAAAGATGTTTGTATAATTTAATATAGAATAAAAATAATTGACATTTTCATAGAAAAATTTATTTAAAGCATTATTTGATGTATAAAAAGAGCCTTAGTAAATAGACAAAATAAAAAATAATATTGGGCTGTATTAAAAAATTATAATTTAAATAATTTCTATGTTTAACCTGAAAATATGCTTCTTTTTTTGCTCTTCTAAAGGCCATATTAGAATCTGAAATTAAAGCCATTTTATCTCTTTTTTCATCAATACGCTTAAGCTGTTGCCAATCTAAATCATCAACAATAATTTGAGTTCTCTTACGATTGATTAATGCTTCTTTATGTTTTGGACTATATATAAGTGCCTGTTAAAAAATATTTTGATTAAATTTAAAGGTCTAAGATAATTTTCATCAACAAACCTGATAATACATCTGATCGGCTGTTAAAATGTCATTTCGAAGTGTTTCAATAAGTTCACCATAACCATTTAACAAATCAGGATTTTTCGGAGCAAGAGCAATACCATGTTCGATAAGTTTCAATGCTTTTTCACCTTTACCCATTGATTTCATTTCGTTGGCAGCAATCAGTGACATTAATGCTTCCAAATTATCTTGATCAGCTATACAATATAGATTCATTGAAAATATACATAAAAAAACAAAATGAATCATTATTTTAACTTACACACAACATGCACATCTGTTTCTCTGATGATTAGTTCGTGAGCATCTTGATTTGAATCAACATATTCATGATCATCAAAATCAATAATAGAAAACGGACGATGTACAATTAGATGTCTGGTTTGATCATCAATGTATTGTATGTAGTTCCAGTATTTATTAAAAAAAATACTAGACAGAGCTCCGAACAAAAATACAATGATTACGGAATAATATTTACACATTATCCCATTAGTTTGGAATAACTTTGGAGCTAAACACCTCATGATTATTATAGAATCTTATATTTTATCAATATAATACAATAATATAAAAAACTTCACGATGGTCCTGCAATGTACACAACAGGTTTCATTCTGCTCATGATTTTCATGAGAGTTATTGGTCCAAAAAAGAGACTGTCCATACTTTGAATATGTCAAAATCGGCGTTGAATAATAAATGAACTAGGTAACATATTGTTAAAACGGTTGACTAGGAATGATACGAAATTAGATTATCTTCATTAGTGCGGTAACATAAAAAAAACAATTAACACGTATTACGTATATCGAATAAATAACTAGTGAACATATTCACAATCACGTATTAAATTATTAGAATACTTCATAACTCACAAAGGATTTTTTATTTTTTACTTGTTTTATTAAACTATTTACTATTTAATATTTATTTTCTAGTCATCAGTTGTCACTTGTTACCATGATAAAACCTTTTATCATCAATATAATAGAAATATTATTATATAGATGAATATTTATCTATGCTTCTGTGGTGGTATTTTCACACGTGCTAAGAAATTTTGTGATATCAGTATCACAGTCCACAGAATTATAATTTCATTGATACTTAATAATTTCCAAAACTTAATTTGTTTAATTTGTTTATGTTTGTGAATATTAGTACTAAATAGTAAATAAAAGTCTTCTTTATTTTTAAATTTTAATTCGCAATTGGAGAACACTATGATGTCTATTGGAAAATGCAATCAGTGGTTCGGTTGTTTTCAAAAAACGTCTGCAAAACGCTTAATAAATTCCTTATACAGTCTTTCGCCTGATTTGAAGTATTTAAATCATAGTACACAACTAAGGTGTATGTCAATCGATAACAATTCAAAGCATACAAATGAAACTGATATAAAAAAATTGTTGGAAGATGGGACAGTCCCAGAAGAGTCATCTGTCGTTGGAGACACTGAAAATTGGACGACATCCCCATACCCAAAAGGTTTACATTATATATTCAGAACTGTATTTGTCTTAATTTATTTGTTGTTTAAAACCAGGTTCATATGTACCTCACAAAAATCAGTCTCAAGCACAGCATGCTCTACGACCAAATGTTGATCCCAAGGAAACATCAATACTCTTGTTTCCCGGTCAAGGTACCCAGTTTGTGGGTATGGGAAAAAATCTGTTAGTGTTTCCTCAGGTTGTAGAGATGTTCGAAGCAGCTAGTGAAATACTGAAGTATAATCTATTAAAACTTTGTTTGGAAGGACCAAAATCTAAATTGGATCAGACCATCTATAGTCAGCCAGCCATCTTTGTGTGTTCCTTAGGTGCAGTTGAGAAACTAAAAGAAGAGCAACTTAGTGCCATTGAAAACTGTATGGCTGTTGCTGGTTATAGTATTGGAGAATTTGCTGCGCTTACATTTGCTGGATGTCTTTCCTTTGAACAAGGTATAAATTAACTATTTTTATCATAGTTGTACTTTTTCTAAAAAATTCTTCAATTTTTTCAGCTGTCAGTTTAGTAAAAGTACGCGCTGAAGCTATGCATTATGCATCAGAAATTGAACCGGGTGGAATGGCTAACATTTATATAAGGCCAGATTCTAAATTAAATTATGCCATGAAAAAAGCCAAAGATTGGTGTCTGGATAAAGGAATCGAAAAACCTATTTGTTCTATATCAAACTATTTGAATCCTGATTGTAAAGTAGTTGCTGGACATTTAGAAGTAAGAAGTATTTAAATTGGTCTTTGTAAACAAAATCCCTAGTATAAAAATTAATCTATTTTTTTTAATTTTTAAACTTTTCATATGATAATTAATAATTTAAATATTTAAATTTATTCCATTAAAGGTATCATAGCAATCATATAATAGACATTTTAGAATTATAATATAATTTAATTATATACAAAATTAGTAAAGAATATGTTTTAACTTAAATAAAAATATTCTTTTGTGATTCTGTATTGGTTTACTAATTAATGCCTTGTTAAACATGAGTATAATTAAAACAATTCAAGGATATAAAACTATAATATCCATAAAAACAAGAAAAAGTGATTGCATTTTATTCATTTAAATATTATGTTATAAAAACATAATTCTAACTTAGTAATAGTTCTTAGAACTATTTTGTTGAATGGAAGTTTGTTATGTTATCATAGTTTCACTATATTTAAAGTGTTTTTTTTTTTTTAATAATATTAAATATTCATATAATATGTTTTAAGCTTTATTAATATTTAAATTACTATTAGTTAGTTGTTAGTGTTATTAATTAAGCCATAGAGTAAATACAAGGTATGTCCAGAAAGTAAGTTCCGTTGGGCAATAAAAACATGTAAATGTGTACATTTTATTATAAATTTTATTTGAATATAAAATACATGTATTACTCTATTTTTCAACATAGTTACCACCATTATTTAAGCACTTATCATATCGAGGTACTAGTTTTTGTATCCCTTCATCATAGAAAGATGACGCCTGTGATTGTAACCATGCGCTAATAGCCTTTTTCACCTCATCATCTTCGTTGAAGTTCTGGCCACCCATAAATGATTTCATGTGTAAAAAAAGATGAAAATCACTGGGTGCCAAATCTGGACTGTAGAGCGGATGATTAAATTGTTCCCATGCAAAATCTGCAAGAAGTTGTTTTATCACATTTGCTGTGTGCGGGCGGGCATTGTAGTGCATGGGAACAATTTAATCATCCGCCCTACAGTCCAGATTTGGCACCCAGTGATTTTCATCTTTTTTTACACATGAAATCATTTATGGGTGGCCAGAACTTCAACGAAGATGATGAGGTGAAAAAGGCTATTAGCGCATGGTTACAATCACAGGCGTCATCTTTCTATGATGAAGGGATACAAAAACTAGTACCTCGATATGATAAGTGCTTAAATAATGGTGGTAACTATGTTGAAAAATAGAGTAATACATGTATTTTATATTCAAATAAAATTTATAATAAAATGTACACATTTACATGTTTTTATTGCCCAACGGAACTTACTTTCTGGACATACTGTGTATCACCTTATATTAAAATAAATAAATTTTTATACTAGGAATTTTTTTCTGCAATTACAATCTTATAATGTTGTAACTGAATATGATGTTAGTAACATAATGTATACAAAATATTTATTGATTTATTATGATTATTTTAGGCATTAAAATATTTGGAATTAAATTTAAAACAATTTAATCTTAGAAAGATGCAAAGACTAAATGTTTCTGGTGCATTTCATACGGACCTCATGCGCCCTGCTGTTGAACCATTTGCAGCTGCATTGCATAACATAAAAATAGCAGAACCTCTGATAGCCGTACATTCAAATATTGATGGAAAACGTTATCAGAACAGTGCTCAAGTTTATAGAAATTTACCTAAACAAATATATAAACCTGTTAAGTGGGAACAAACATTACACATACTGTATGAACGTCCAGTTGGGTCAAATTTCCCTGATACTTTTGAGTGTGGACCTGGCTCTACTCTCAGAAATTTATTAAAAACAGTTAATTATAAAGCTCATTCTTCTTGTAGGACTATTGATATTTAATGTACTTATTAAGTAGATAACTTTTAAGCATAAATTTATTTGTAATACAATTGTTATATATTATTACTATATTGTTATACATTATTCTTTCAGTAGCTAATATCATCCATTGTGGACTGAGACTTATAATTAAATAAACTACGATTGGTATATATTAAGATACATAGTAAAATAAAATTCTATAATTTAAAATACAAACATTGTTTTAATGCAGACTAAGGGCAATTTTTAAGATCTAAATTATTTATCTATAATTCAACTTATCAAACTTTTTATACTTTTTTCTTATAAGTTTCTAAATTATGATTTAACATTGACATATAATTTTGTTAATTCTTCCATTTTCTCAAATTAAACATGTATAATAATTTACAATCCAAAATCACTTTAGATGCATTAGTGTAATTTTGTGTTTAGGCGTGCTCAAAAATTATTTTTTGATCTGTGACTTTTGAAAAGATTTTACATATCTAACAAATTAAAGGATATTTTTGATTTCAACTATATGAGCAACTTTAAATGAATGATGTAGCAAATGAGTGACCTTGCCAGATACCTAGAAGGTAAGTTACCTTAGTACTTCAGTGTCTGGTTTTTTATTTTTATATATTTTTTATTTAGTTATACTAGATATCTATCAATTGTTTTGATTTACATCACTGAGTTCAAATTTTATATCTAAATATTTCATTAAAAAATTTTTTTTTGCTAAAATTCCAAACAAATACCTACCCTGGATCAAATTTATATGCTTACAATAATAATTTAATAAGTCTAACCAATAGATAATAGTCGTATTTTAAGTACACTTTAATAAAAGTACAAAAACTATAATAAATTAATCTCATCAGAAATAGAAAACACTACATATTCTCAAAATATGATGAAGTTTTGTAGTGTAAGATCAGTTGACCAAAAAAACCAATAACAAATCATCGAATGAATCATTTAAAATAAGTAATAACCATATTATATAACTATAATAAGTTATTATGATGTTTTATTAAATTATTATTATTATTGACATTTGAGTACATTAAGGTACGTATAAAATGTGAATTTGCAACGTTCGAAATATTCATAATATTACTTATTAGTCATTACCGACCAATTAAGAAAATACTTTTATTCAAATACTTCATAATATTACTAGGTCTAGGTATATTATGTGTACCTACCTATTTAATAATCTTAGTATTTAATGGTACAATAGGTATAATATGTGTTTTACAAATTTAATAGATATTTATATACGTATGTATAGTATATTATATAATCATATATTCATATCCAGTGGCGTAGCCAGAATTTTTGAATGGAGGGGGGGGGGGGGGGGTTACGATTTAGCTATATACCAGGGACGGACAATTCAAAATTACTCCAGGGCCACTTTTTAGAAAATCAAAAATCTAGTGGGTCAAAAAAAAAAAAAAGGTCATTCGATCGCTAATTTACTAGGTAAATAATAAAAATAATTAAATAGAAATCATTGGGAGGGGGGGTCAACACCTGGCTACACCACTGTTCATATTTACTTATGTATAATGCTTTAAAGAATAAATATTAAACAACACTATTTAATATAATAGGTACGTATTTGTATAGTCATATTGGTAGGTAGAGTTTTGTACTTTATTATATTTACTTTATAAATTATTAAATTTTGATAGATATGAAATACGAAAGCAGCTAGGCGACTGACAACATTCAAAAGTCACGCATGACTGCAAGCTGCAGCATAATAATATTGGCATTAAAATATAGTTTTATCCCCAACCTATTTAGTATATCATTATAAGTAATTGGTACTAATGGTACTTAGGTACATGATATACTTCCATACTCGCGTAATCACATACTATGTATTGTTTACCTATTTTGTATGTTATATATTTATTAAAAGTAAACCGAACAGAATTTAGGAAAATATATTCTACTGTCTACTTGTAACAATATACTTAATTTTATTAAATTAATTATTGTTCAATCGTTAATTTAATGGATCATTCAATATACATTGATTAAAAAATAATCGAATAATGAATATATTGTGTCCTAATTCTATGGAATAAAATAAATTGTTATTGTGTAGTTTTATGTGTAGAATATCTTGAGTTGTTGAGAATTATTCGGATTTCAATGGAGTAACTGATTGCATCGTGTATTTCACTATGCGGTTTGGATTAATAGAAGCTACGTACAACGACGATCCGTCTTTCGAAATTGCTATGTCATGAGGCACTTTGATAGCCTGAAAAACAAGACGCAATCAAGTAATACATAATTAAATGTTACTAAATGTTTAAATGTTTTTTATTTTGTTATAAAGTCACTGCAGCGCAATAGAGTTTACTAAGTGTACATATGATTTTTAAATTTATGACATTAAATGATTTAAACGAGACAAATTACTAAAATATTTATATACCCAATACATGTATGGTAAAAATAATAAGTAATAACCGCATTAACTTACTGCATTTTTCGATAGTGTCCAGTGATCAACAATGTTCTCGGTCATAGGGTTTATGGTAAATCCTCGTACCGGTATCAGAGGTGACGTAGGTCCGTTTACGGCGTAAATCAGGTCGCCTTTAAATTAAATTTAAAAAGTTTAAAGGATAACCCAATTATGTAATAACTAAAAGCCCAAATTTTCCACCCCTTTGCCACCAAAACACATACCGTGATTGGTTATCGCGAACACCCGTCCCAAATCTGGTTGTTGAATCGTCAACGGAGCCTGTTCTTTGCTTTCAGACGAAAGTTCGGCGCCCCTGCACACGACTCTCATATCTTCGCGGTCAGCAATACAGATGAGGTCATGTTGTTCAAGTAACGCCAAACTGTGTGGTACTTGAAGGCTTAAGAATTCTATTAACAATAAATTATAACACGTTCGTATTAAAAAAAAAAAAAAAAAACGGTAGGTAGCAGATAGGTACGACCTGTTCTGCAATTGCAAAATAGGTACTATGTATTATATAATATATTTCTATACGTCTATAAACCATGTAAAATCTATACGATTATCAATAGTGCCGCGTTAAGCTATGTTGCCGCCCCGGGGCAAATTAAAATATGCCGCCCTTACAAAAATTACAATTCAAAATTATATTCAACACACTATTAATACTAACGATTTACTTGTAACAGAATATGTTTGAGGAAAAAACGTACAGAAATAATGAAAATAGTTTATACGTACAATTATTAGAACAAGTTTTTAATTCTTATCGCCTTGTGACATATATCGGTAGACGGCGGCTTTTTTGTGGTATTTATAAACGAAATAATATGTACTTATTATAGTTATACAGTCTCACAAAAAAAATTATAATTATAAATTTTTTATTTTATATTGATCCTCCAAAATTTGCCGCCCTGGGACAATTGCCCCCCCCCCCTTGCCGCCCGTTAAACGCGGCTCTGATTATCATCGGTCTATATACATAATTTAATAATATAGATATAATTATTTAATAATTCTTGCTTAATCATTTGATGGACATTTTATGACCAAAATTATTTTATGAATTGTTTTACATACCCATTTTTTATTATTCTGAAATTTATATTAATACCTGGTTATGAGTATCTATTTAACAAAAGTAAAAAATAGTAGTTTTGTTTAAGAAGTATATACATAGGTGCTCATAGGTAATATTTTAAGGGGAGTCAAAATAAAAAAAATCATAAATTCAAGCGAAAGAAAGGTGTAATGTCATTTCAACATATAAATATAAAATATGTGTTATAATTATATGCTATTATTTATATAATTGATATTTGTATTGGTATATTATAATTAATTAAAATAAATTTTAACAAGTATTCAAAAAAAATTTAGTATAATAATTGCACATTTCAAATCACCCAACTTATTTATCTCATAGACTGAAGTTATCTAAATCTATTAGGAAACCTATTCTAGACTTTTTTATCATTATATAACCTATTATTTTTCAGAAAAGGGATTGAATTTAAAAATTGGTCATTTATTTCTTGTTGAAAAATTGTCTACAAAAAACACGATTAACTATTATTCAAATAAAAAAAAATTTAAAGAAAAGATAAATAGTTTTTTTTTTGCAATAGGAACGAGGAGCAGTAGTTAGTCCCTTATTTACACCAGGAACGAGTTCCTTTTAAAAGAAATTTTCTCAATACTGAATTAATTACTAGTAGGTAATTACATAAAAATATACAATAAATATGACTTAAAATTAATCCGGTTTTGTTCTATTTGAAATATAGAAATTTACCGTTGGCGTGTGGAAAAACTCGTAGCAACTCTCCTCTGCTAGAAAACTTTAAAACTCTAGAGTTGCAGTATCCGTCTGCAATGAAAATGTCACCGGTCGAAGCAATGGCCACAGAAGTAGGTTGACACAATGTCCTGTATCCTTTGCCGTTCTCGAATCTCTTGCCAAAGGTTAATGACGCTCTGGGCGCTCCGGGCGAAAACTGTTTATTTTTTTATCACCATTATTCCGTTATATGTCAACATGCGTTGTGGGTGAGTTTAAATGCGTTTGAGCAGAAAATTATAATATATTATAAAAATGGTGTTTTTAACCTTAAACACTTGATGCATAGCCACATCTGTGACCCATACGTTCCCTTGATGATCTATTGTGATGCCGTGAGGCATGTAGAAGAAACCTGCTCCCCAGCTGGATAAAACCTCACCAGTTTTCGGACTCAGAGTGACAATGGCGTTTGTTAAAATGGGACCTTCCTCTACATGTTGGTAGTGGTATGTTTCGTTGAACGAGCTAATCAAATTTGATAAATATTTATGCATGTTATGGAAAACAAAGTACAGAATAGTTAAACTCACTTCTCGTCCCAGACACGGCTTCCCCGATGAAAAATCACAGGCTGTCCGACCGTGTTTATTGCCACACCACTCACTTGTCCTAGACGAGGTATCGGACTTCTTGGCCATCCTTCTACCTCTACGGGCCTGTTTATGTCCTGTGTCTGTCATATTAATTATTAGCCATTTATTAAAAATATAAAAGATGTTTATCATAAATACTTTATGGATTATAATTTAATAAAACACCATTTTATGTTTAAAATTGAAATACATTATAAAACTTTAAATTATGTCCCTGGTAAATATATAATAGTAAATAGACTATAGACAATAGCGTATGGTAGTATAAATAATTTTTATAAAATTTTTAAAGTTTATTATTCACAATATAATATTAAACTTACAAAGGAAATTTTATAGATCAAGATTAACCTGTGATATACACTTTATAATAACATCGCATATTACACATTTACATATCAATGCGCGTGCAATGCATCACAACCACCACTTCGTCCTAACCTAATATAAACATAATAACATAGGTCATAAATCGTTATTCAAAAATAAATAGCTTTAGAGACTTTAAAATTTCACCAAATATTAGTATTTTCTAGACATGATATAATTATTTTAAAATAAGTTGACACTATATACTTAATTTATAAAAATGTTTAATTTATTATTGAACTATATATAATACAATTTTTTTTTTAGTAATTAACATGAAAATGTAATACAAGGTTCCTAGTAAGTGGTTTTTACTGCAAATAAAAATAAAATTAAAATGAAAGTGTCTTTGTGTTATAAGCATTTAAAATAACAATTTTTACAAAACTCATCAAAATCACGAAAATATAATATAAATTATTTTGTAGTTAACAATTCATATAATTGTTCGTTTTGAAAGCTATACCTAAGGGTTTAAAATGTAAAATATGATTTCTGATTGGTTTTTTTTTTTTTTTTTAATTGGAATTTAAAAAATAGTTTAACGGAAAGCCACGCATATGTCATGAGCGATTTAACTTCAAATTTCGGCGATCATACACATATTAAAATGTATAACAGCTCGATCGTATGACTCTGCTGTAATGTCTATTAATATGTGTACTTATATGTAGGTATCTACTATCATCTCGCTTAATAGGTTATCGACAGTAGACAGAGACGCGACAATAAATTGAAGTTCTCGGGACAATATCAAGTAAGTGTTGGCTACTTATTATTGTAATGTAGGTACTCGCCTGTGATGACGATGGCAACGAAAGTGGCGGTAGTGGCGATGATTCAGTGACTGCAGTTGCCCCAGATTCGTCGACGTTATCGCCATCACTACCGTACACTACGCGCTTGATCTCGTCGTAAAAACTGCTGTCAACCGGCCAACCTGCGGTCGACACGGGACATGTGGCCAACAAAGTGGCCAGGCAGACTGTAGTGGCCAACAGCGACAAGTACAACGGCTGACCCATGGCGCAGCAGTGACTGCTGCAGGTACCTACGTTACGTGACGTGGGTGCGCGTGGGCGCTGTACGTGTTAAAGTGGGTGAGACGCGTATGGAGTGTCTTGTGTTAGCGTCAATATTTCGTTATCGATGCATTGAAACGTCGGCAGAGGTGACGACAACGATTCACGAATTTGGCCTTGGTGAAATCGCCGAGATCAATACCTTATGTATGCCACAGAAACGGTCGGTTGGTTTGATCGCCAGAGAGCGCCGCGTGACCCCCTCTTTACACCCTTAAATGACTCGCTTCCCCTCCATCCACCCTTAAATGACACACTCCCTGCGAAACAGCGATGATGGGTCACCCTGACCCACACTAACAGTTAAACCTGTTCCACCACAAGTCATGACGCTCTACGTTTTAAATTTATGCTAAAATCACTAAAAATGAATCGTATTTATATATTAATACATACCTATACGCAAGACGGAGTCGGATCAAAAAATGTTAACGCTCTGGAATGAAAATAAAATACGCCCTCTTAATATCAGAGCAGATCCAGATATACCCATACGGTATACTCCTGCATTCGTGTATTTTATTAAAGTTTATTATTGTCCGCAGTGTTGAAAGTTTGAGCTGGTAAATTGATATTAACTTTTTTCCTTCATCTAATACAGGGCACATTAGCTTTGTTATGTTAGCTATGGGCTGGATTCATGGTCGCTGAAGATGAGCCCTCAGGAAGTCCAGACCTCAATCTTTTGGGTTACAGACAGTGGAGTATTTTAGAGGAGACCGCTTGCTCTAAGCTCCATCAAAATATTAAATCAAAAAAAGCTGATTTGGTAAAATCAACTGCCTCAATATCGTTATGATTATTCCGTATCGTCATAGACGAGTGGTTAGATTAAGAAGTATATAAATGCAAACCATGGACATTTAGAAATTTATAATGGTATTTAGTTTCTTTTAGTTATGTTATTAAGTTAATAAAGAATAAATAACTTCAGATTTTTTTTTTATGTTTGTTTTATTTTATTTAATAGTTTTTAATAATTTATCGAAAGAGTATAAAAAATATGTCAATTTCCCAAACGTTACGCCTAAAATTCTTCGCCGAACTATGCCGGTGGACCAGCTGTGTTGTGTTTAATATTAGTGACGTTAGAACGTGGAGTACCTTAGCGAATAATAAACTCACCGTTTTTATTTGTATTTTTCAGATCGATACACAATATAGGTACAATTAACCGAAAAGTTAGTACCTCTGATTCAAAAACATAACACATATAAATACTGCAGTACAGTTTTTTTTTTTTTTTTTAATGAAATTAAAAGTTTGACAAGCAATCGGAAGACCTATATAATTGATCCACATAAATGTTCGAAAAATGTGTCCTCCCTTAAAAAATTCTCATATTTATCCCTGACAATAATCGCATAGATTTTTAGTTTTAATACAAACTAATTGTTGACGAATGTACTAATTTGTAAAAAACTTTCTTTTTTCAAACGTCGAATGCAATCAAACTGTTTGTGTATGAAAGCGTAGAATCCAAAGTCGTTCCATAGATAGATTGGCAAATATTACAGTGTTGGCCGAAATTTTACTCGTCTCGGAAACCACCGCTGGCGATTCGCTTGGACTTAACACCGTAATCAAGAACGTTGACCGCTACAGATCCAAGGAAATCCTGGCACCTGTTATTTGGACATAAAGTGGTTTAGTAAGATGCTGTCTATGGTTATTTTTTTAGTTTCATTAAAATAAAAAAACTACACTGCAGTACATGTATTATGTTTTTGAATCAAAAGTACTAAATTTTCGGTTAATTGTATTGTATATTCATCATTGATCTGATGAATATAAATAAAAAAATCGGGTAAGTTGGTACCGCTCTGCTGTACATTAGGGAGTGGGGTGAACCTCGGACTAGGGTAGGTTAAATTTGAATGCAATGATAGGTATCATTGTATACGAAAAACGATTCTAAACGGAGATGATTTGTCAGTCTAGGATATATTATATTTAAATATTGTCATACATTCTATTTTGAAACAAATATTTTATTTTTCAATTAGGACGTATTTGTAAAAGTCATGTTAAAATAATTAATTATTAATTTTTATGAATTATACCTACAAAATAGTTTGCAAATATTCATGGTTTTGATGAATTTTTGTTCAAATATTTGAATTTCAAATGCTAATAAAAAAAAAATTGTGCCTATGTATTCTTAAAATTTTTTGATCACTATAAGAATAAATTATGAGGAACTTTCTATTAAATGTTCAAGTATTTTGATTGGGCCAAAAAAATTTTATCGACACTTCAAAAAAAAATTTTCAAAAAAATTGAAAATTTCAATTTTCTATAAATAACGAGACCATTATTATAAGAACATAGTGGATAAACTCAACTTTATTTAGCTATTTTTTTTCTAATATTTTGTTTGAAGAAAACAATTCAGTAATCTAAATTTATGTACAATGATAAGTTATTAACATTTTTATTTGTTTAATGTAATAATTTAAATTGTGATGAAATTGGCTTAAAAGTATTAGTCTCATGTTTTATAGTGATCAGTTGAATACCCATAAATTAATATTTGTCAATTTATTTAGGGTTCATTAAGGTCCTTGGTTTACATTTCCTCTGGAGGATGTATTTTGTGGGCAGGAACAAATCTTATCACGCAGAATGAAAAATTTTATCAGAAATTTATTATTCCTGCGTTCTTTACTTTTGATCCAGAAAAAGCTCATAACCTTTTAATATTTTCTGGAAAATATGGTCTCATACCAAAATCATTTTATAAAGATCCACCGACACTGGTAAGTTAAACATTTTGTCATCCAATTATTATTCTCATTATTTAAACAAATAATTAGTTATTAACAAATAGTAAGTAATGAGTAATGTGTTGGATTTATTATTTTTTTTTTCTAGAAAACAAAATTATGGGATTTGATTTTTACCAATCCAATAGGTCTTGCAGCTGGGTTGGATAAACAAGGCGAAATAACAAAAGCATTAAAAAATGTAGGGTTTGGTTTTGTAGAAGTTGGTTCAATAACACCTCTACCTCAACCAGGCAATGAAAAACCAAGAGTGTTTAGACTTTTAGATAGTCAGACAGGTACAGATATATATATATATATTAAGAAACAGTATCTATTTCTTACAAATATAAATTGTACATATTATAAAAATCTAAATGGCAGTTGTTATTTAAAATATAAATTTTATAAAATAAAATAATTGTTGTATTTTATGTATTCATATTATATTGTTTAAGAAAATAATTCATATTTTGTTGACGGTATGTAATTATATACCCTATTTTATAGTGCATGTTCTTTAGACATAGGTACTAATTACCAATAGATACAATAAGTGTTTAAGGTCAAAATAATTTCGTTGAGTTTATGTACTTGTAATGTTAAATTTAGGATAACATTTTTTAGGGGGGAAGCTAAGCCCCCCTAAAAGTCTATCCAACCTTGAAACTTATTGCAACCCTAACAATTTAGCCCAATTTACGCCACTGGCTATGGCTTAGTCAGTGTTTTTATAATAGGTCTAAAATCAAATTGATTTTTTAAAAGAAAATTATTCGACTCTATAAGTGGAACTAATTAATCTTGTTTTTATAATTTTTTTAAAAGTTTTTGCAATGTTTACAATAGCCTAAATTGAATAGAAATTACTGAGAGATGTGAGGTAAGATTTTTTCTTTGTTTGTTTATTATCAACACTACTTTAATAACATCTGATACTTTATTTTGAGTTATATAAAGATTAAAATTGTATTTTAATAGTTTGCAAAAGATTATATTATGTTTTTTTGATAGATTGGAAGATGGATTGTCGAACATAGGTGGAAATGGTAACTAGGGACTAAAACCACCCCTCCAAAAAAAAAAAATATTGTTAAAAATATACTTTTATGTTATAGTCATATTTATAGCTCATATTGATGTTAAAAATGTTAACCTCCCCACTGAAATTTCCATAGATTTCCGACTATATTAAGATTGAGAGTGAGCTATTTTTACTTTATAGGTGGTTTTCAAAAAATTTTGTTAGAAACATTTAATAATTTATAAATAAAATTACCTTTAACAAACATTTAAGCGTAAGACTTAATAAAATAACAACAAAATGAAACAATTTTATAGACTAAGTAAATAATATAATACAATGTAGATATAACCTATCATATGGCGAGTCATAATATGGCACTAATTAAACTTGGATAAGTGGTGTTAGAATATGGAACACTTAATATTTTCAGTTAGACTTAAAATTTGAATTACAATCCACACTTCCCTATAAATATTTAAATAATTATGACATTGCGCCTATATGTAGGTACCTAATGGGTAGGGCTCGGAAGTTGTAGGAATTGCATATTATTTTGTATGTTCCAATTTATAGCAGAATAAGCTAGAAATCTGTACTGTGCAATGAAGAGTTAAAAAATTGAAAATTAAAAATGCATATTTTGTCAATTTTAGCTAAAAATTGCACATTTCATTGATTTTAAACGCATATTATGCATATTTCATATTTTTCTAAAAAAATTGATTTTTTCTTTCTAAGCCTGTATATTTTAATTAATATTGAATACAAAACTCAAAATTATCAACGAAGGTATTTATCGTAATTTAAAAAATACTGAAAAATATTTTTAATTATATTTTCAGTACAACAAGATATCAAAATGCCAACCAGTTATAATTATTTTTCAGTTATAAACAATGTTTATGTATATTATTTTTTTATTAATTTATTTACAATAAATAAAGTATTTATTTTTTTTTTTTTTGAAACTTAAAATTATTTTTTTGCATATTTAACATAATTTTTAATGCATATTTTGCGTTTTTAGCTTCTACAACTTCCGAGCCATAGTAATAGCCAATAGATATGTATTGAACTTATTAAATTGTATTAGTTTCTTCGATGTTAGGTAAGAAAAGCAATCTTTAACTTTACTTTCGATGTGCAATAAACTTTATTTTATTAAAAATGGACACTTGTTCACAGTTTTTTCCAAGAACTCATAATAAAATAACATGTGTTTATTTCACTCATTTCATTATTACGTCATATAAGTAGGTACCTATAGCAATCAAAACTCGTAACATAAAATAGAAATATACGACAGAGTCACAGAGAAAATAGCCAATAGGTACATGAAATAATGTATACTATTGTAATAATAGCTGTCTATCGACTTCGAACATTGCTCCTTACCTCTTAAGTAGGTACGTCTAATAAATTGAATGAGGAATAGCGAGTTGGTCGACTCGTAACTGCTGACAAATTTTTTTCCGTATGCGCCGTGGTACACAAAATTACCAACGCGTACTAGACAGCGGAAGAAATACTTCGTGATAACCAACATCAATATACCCAGATCGGTTACCTTAATACTTATCTAATTTCAAGTGTTGCTCAGCATTCAAGTCAGTTTTTATAAGAACCATCACAAAGATCCTTCCAGTCGAGATATTAGGTCCCTAATCCCATTCTCAACCAAACTAAAAATCATCAATTGTGTCAAAAAAACTTTTTCTTTTCTTATATTTTGCTAATATTGCAAAATGTTATCTTTCAACCTTTGAAAGGTTGTTATAATCTACAGTTATTAAATTTTCAAAACTAATGGTTTTATACCAAGTTAACTAAAATAAAAAGTAACTATATTTTTCTTATTCAATCAATTAAATAGTTCAACTTGGGCTTTACAATTAGTTTAGTCAATAGTCAATTTAGAACAAAGTATTAGTATTTGAAGAACATTTTTTTGCCCAAATACCTACATTTATTGAATATTTTTTTCACTTTCTTAATTTTACTTAGCTACCTTTAAATACAGTTTTGTAACTTATAAATTTTTGATATAGTGTAATCATATGTCTGGTAAAATTATGTTGCCTGGTGTAACACACATGAAAAATAACAGAATCGATTAATTAGTTATTATTATAAGATTCGTGTTGGTCAACTATTCAACTATATATTAGTTAAATTATAATAAAAAACAAAAAACATATCAAACAATAAAATATATATTTACATTTAAGAATTTAATATTAAACTATTCACCATTCACAAACCAAAAGTTATGAGATATTAAATTATACATATTTGATAAAAAACTAAAAAAATATTTTTGTCTCTTAGACATTTTTATTCAAAAATAAAAAATGTTGACAAATCCATACTGAAATAGTTATAAATAACCACATTGTTTATATATATCATATTTGAATACAAACGATTATCAAAAAATTCCAACTGATAAATATACATAGGACATGGGCGAAAACATTTTATAAAAATATTACAAACAAATAAATAATAATACAAAAGATAAATAAATTTAAAAAATACAATTAAAATTAAAATACTTGTATATATAAGTACCTATGACATAACATTAGTTAAGTATATTTATTAATTATTATAAATTAAGCAGTAATTGACTTCTTTGTCCTTAATACAATTTAGGTGGCGTTATTCTTGATGTAGTATGCACGACTGGTTTGAGGATAGTTATATATACAAGATTATACAATCGTTAATTCTAATATCACAGACTCACCGCTTATGGATTACGTGGACATGACGTAAAATAAATCTTAAATTAGCATTCGTTTTCACAATCATATAAATAATATTTAATATTACATAGTAATATAAAACACAACCATCCGGAAGTATCGAGGGTCTTCGGAAGCGAAGCTAATAATATATCATTTTAAGACGATTGTCACACCACCGCGGCAATCATGGGAACTTTAGTTTCGCCTTCGTCGTTTTCCACGCTACAATTTTCCTCGGCACCCGCTTCCTCGTTCTCTGGTGGCACGACCACCATCAAGTATTGAATGAACTTAGTGAAGTTATCTATAAACATAGAACAAAAAGACCATATATGTATATACAATTTCAAAATGGCTGCTGATTATTAATACACAGTGTCTTCAATCTATTATATTTGGATAATGTAGGCTTAAAAACTGTTTCATTTAGTTTTTGTTGCACGCGGAAGGGGATTTCTTATACTCTGGCGGAGAAAAATCCTTATCGTAAAACGTTATTGGGAAGCGAAATGTTAATATACCAAATAGGTATATCTCAATATGCAAGTATCGAATAAAACTTGAAAATAAATAATTATTAAAGTTTTAATTAATAATAATTTATGATAGTATAGCTATACTCTATTTAGTGAGAGAAAACGCAATACTCCGACGAAAATTGGTTCTTTTGAGCATTTTCACGTGACACACTGTTCTAGTATACTGGTATAGTGGTATCAATAGTAGACTGTCGAGTGAGATGTGTATATCTATTTTCTCTCACTAGACAGAGCATAGCATACCGACTACCTCGTATATTGCAAGAAAATATCTAAATTATTCTATATTAATATATTATTATACAACAATAAATTATTATTTAAAATCAGTTTAATCTGAGTGTTTTTAAAAACCATTTACTTGTTTATATTTTAAAGTAGAAAAAAAGTTATAAATTATAATAATTAAGAACGCATATATACTTTAAAGGTTAAAAATCGAGATTTTTGGTACAACGTGACGTTTGCAAAATATTTGATATTTCGATAACTTATCGGTGCGTTTATTCAAAATATACCATAATATTATATTATAATTATATATACTTACCGACTATTGATAATCTCTTTTTTAGGAAAACGAATGGAATGTATATCAAAAACGCTGACAGAATGAACACCAAACCAATGAGAAATTGTGGCTTGGGATCGTTGAGTATGGGCGTGATGAATAAAACGGCAGACACGATGAGCACGATTATCGGAATTATGATTGGCACCTGCGTGATCGAACAAAAGACAAAATATACAAATTAGAAAAGAAGAACTTTTCACCGATCTACATGACATGCACAAACGATACAATTTTTTTTATCGAAGCTACATACTTCTTACGGGGTAGGTACACCAGCTATAAACATTTACCTATATGCCATGTATAATTGTTTTTTACTTATATACACCTATATATATATTGTTTGCGAGTTTGTGTGTATGTGCAGAGCTGTATATATATATAGGATTTCATTTCGTTACCGTAAACAATGCCGTGTCATATATTTGATCATCGTCGTCCAGGCGGAACAAAGGTTTTATAATACTGTCCTAATTATTCGAAATATTTTTATCTATACCTATAAACAACTGGACACTATTGAAAGAAACATAATCACGGAACATTAATATAATATTATTATAAGTATTACACCGCATCCATTGTTGGATGCGGTAGGAATTTTAAGTCCTTTGAGGACCCGGAACAATCGATTTATTCGATCCAATATACATATAAGATGAATATTTTCATCATATTATTTTGCAATATATACACGTTCCCTCGACACACTGATATATATATAAAGCCCATAGTAGGACATCAAAGAAAACGTTACTAAATTATATTATATGAACTGTACCGCCACCATAAAGGTGACAAATGGAATTATACAACAACCAGGAGCAACAATATGATTGATTTATCGAATCGATGTAAGATGAATAATTTCATCACTTTATTTTCCCCCGATGTATAAGAGTATCCTAAAAGTCCATAGTAGGACACGAGAGAGACATTATTTGGCACCACCATAGAGGTGATAGATAGCATTAATGTCGTTAGTACGACAATATAATGATGTGTTTACTTTGAATGGACGTTTAACGTCTCTCTTGGTATAACGCATCACTAACAATGCCGCCATGGAGATACCGTAGAACATCCACACTAAGAAGCTAGCGAATTCTATTAACGCCACAATGTCTCCACACAACAGACAAATTAACGTGAGTAAGCCCTGAAAGAAAAACATTAAATTATAATAAAATTTTAAGACGCAAATTAGAATTTAAATTAAATACATGAAATACAATGTCTTAGTTATTAGCATACCTGTAAAACTACAGCGGGAGCGGGCGTTAGCCTTTTTACGCTCACGTAAGAGAAAACTTCCAACATTTGACCTTCTCTACTCGCGGCGAAGCATAACCTACAATGAATGACAAATTACAAACAATAAGTCATAGTAAAATATTTTAAATACGTATGACATAGTATTAAATATTTTGAACACTAAAACAAGTGACCAACCTGGTTATTCCGAATTGGACACTAAGCGCACAACCAAATGTTGCCATGGCTACACCGAGTGGAATAATAAAACTAAAACTTCCCAGTGCTCGAGTTCCAAATTCCTAAATATCAAAAAAATCGACATTATTCTAAGTATAAGAATACAATTATTAAATCGAGTATCAACTTTGCTTTAATATACTTACTACCGCTACCGCCTGGACTGAAGTCATTTCCGCGACCGACAGGACTGTTAAGTACGACACGTTCATTAAAACATAAATCATGGTGACAAATGGTACCGCCAGAAGTATACTGAGCAGTATGTTCCTGTAACATGCAAATGTTGTAGTTATTTAGAAGAAAGAACATAGCAAGTAGTGATAATACAGAAATAAAATGTACCATAACAAGAAAAAATCGTACTTACCTTTGAGGATTCTTGATTTCTTCAGATACCACGGTCGTAGCCGTCCTGCAACACGCACGCGTTATATTAACACAACATCATGGTCATAGCCTATTTATTATACGATTCTAAATTTGTAGAGTGTAGCATTTTTTTATATATATTATGTACATGCGTATGTATCATTGTAAATCATTTTGAAACCAAAATTTTTAATTTTTTTTACATTTTTTATATTATTTCGTGAATATTTTTCGATTTTTATATTTTTTATTTGCTATGTATTATGTATACTGGACAAAATACGATTAGATTAAATAAAATAATTGAAAAACCAAGTATCTCAAGTACATTTTCAGGTATATTGATGTATCCCTGCTTTTTTTTTAAATTTAAACATAAGATCTAATTTATTTTATTTATTTTATTTTTTTTTTTTTTTACAAAATTATAATTTTAAAAATAAAAAAGATTTCTAAAAATTGTGAGTAGAAATTTATATCTATATGATACAGTGATACATGATAATTACATTTAATAAGTCCGGGTTTACGCGATAAGTAGATAACTACAGTTGTAGATAGATCTAGAACCTATTTTAATAATTCCGTCGATCAAAATGTTGCATCAAATTTCAGGTTCCTTTTGTATTTCTTGTGATAATTAAAACTTATAGAACCAATTTAAAGTATTTTATATAAAAATATACATAATAAAATATATATAATAAAAACTAACAAAATTAAAATATTTAAAATTGTATTTTATTATTGATTTATTTAAAAAAATACTAATATTGTCTCAATTGGCTTCAAAGTCTCATCAGTCATCACCATTTGGTACATACATTTATGGTAAAAATATTTAAAGTAAATATAATATGTTATCAAATGTTTGTTATATTGTGATAAATTGTTTGAGGGAGAATAAAGAGGGTATGGAAGAAAAATTCTCTAGTTTATATAATTGTGTTATTAATAAGGTAGGGAGGCAATTTTTTTCGTGTAAAAAAATTTCTCTACTATTTCTTTTTTAAATCAAGTACAGATTATTACGCGGTTACGATAACTTACCATCCGTCGTATGCCCAAAGACCGCTGTAAAAAGCTATCGGGAGCGTATCTATGGATAATGTCGTGCCTTCAAAACCGGTCATCAAATTCTTAGTATTTCCTGCAATGATATACAATAATAAAATAATTAAAATATGACATTAATTAAATCAATATTCGAAAACAGAATTCATCGTTAAAACATATAAATCACTCACCCAGGTAGAGTTGATATAGTCCACCTACTATGACAAATATACAGGCGGTGACTTTACATATAGTGAACACATTTTGGATTTTTATGAAACACTTAACGCTAGTATAGTTGATAAAAGTTATGATACCTTTAAAACAAAACCGATACAAACATCATGATATATTATTGGCTATACGTAGGTAATAATAATAACAACAAAGATTTTAGTACTGCACTAACCTAGTGCAAGTATGCTGACAGTCTTCTTCACTGTGTATTCGCTATCGGGCGTCATGGAAGTCAAAATGCTGAACGGCCGGATGAAGTATTCGGAGAACGTCAATATAATTATGGCTACCTCGGCTGGACGAACGTACATGATGCTCACCCAAGAATATATGAAACTCGGAAGAGGTCCCCAGAACTTATGCATGTCAGCGAATGCAGATTGATAAAAACTGAACTCGCCTCCCGACTTATTGACTACAGTGCCAAGTTCGGCGTATGACATCGCACCTGAACATTGTTATTGTGAAAAAAACGATTGTAATAATAACTGCAGCAAACATACATATCTACACGATCTAAGTGGATTAGTTTAAAAAATACTTACCCAAAAGTGATAACAGCCCACAAGACGCCCAAATGATCAAACACATGCTCACAGACCCTGTGTTCTTTAACGCATTGGCCGGAGACACAAATATTCCCGATCCTTCAGAAAAAAAAATCATAAATTATTATTATTATTTAAGGTCAAAGAAAAGTTGGCTAATACATAAACTTATATTTTTTATTTGCATAATATGTAAACTACTCACCCAACATTACGCTGATAATGAGACAGACGGCACTGAACAAACCTAGTTCTCGGCGTAATTTTACATTTTTCGGTACAGATGTCATTTTTATTTCTTGGAATGTACGAATAAAATATTTTCTTACCTGGGAACAATACAAATGTACTACAAGTTAATATTATATATTATTTTTATTATAGTTAATTGTCAATAACATGCAATTTTTTGTTGTTCAACATTTGTAGTGCATGAATGATGAATAACTGTTTACGCGATCGAACATTTTGTGACAGACGTAAAACGTTTAGTTTGTTAACTGCCTATGTATATGAGCGTATTGTCACATAATCTCGTAAAACCAAATCAAACAATTAATAAACTGTTACGCGACTAAAAATTGCATATCGACAATATTTAATAATTTTATCTTATTAGTTCAGTAATGTAGTTAGATTCGAAGCGGAGGTTTTAAAATAAAAAATGTTGTGTACAGTTAGTAAAACCGTAGTACTATAAGTACTTTTCTTAATAATCAGAAAAATATAAAAATAATAAAAAAAAAAATGAGAAAACAAAAATATATTACATCATTATTATGACAAAATCGATTTTTTTTTTGTTTTTGTAATTTATAAAATATATATATATATTTAAATACCTAAATATATTACACATCCTTGTAAGGCTATACCAATGTATATACCATATCTATAAAGGTATTTGTAAATTATTTTCTCGTAAACTATTGGTATTTTCATTTTTAAACTTAGCCAAATTAAAAAGTGTTCTCTGAGTACGGAAACTAATTTAATTTTTCAAATTAATTACTTTTTAACATAATTTAATTTTATCTATTAAATTATTAAATAATATATTAATATAATATACTTAAATAAATTCACTCCTGGTTAAAATAACATTCATTAATAAGTTTAAATTGAGAAATAACTATGAGGTGTTGTAAAGTTGAGTTAAAAAAATAGTAAAAACAAACATTTTATAAGTAGATTTAAGCAAAAAATTATGTATTATGACAAAATAATAAAATATTTTATATGTTTTTTAAGATTTAAAAAAATTTAGGTTTTATTTGGAAACAAGTTAATTTAAAATAAACTGAATTAATTATTCAAAATAATGATAATATATTATGTTGTTATTTTAACATAATTATTCAATTATTGTCAAATAAATAAGAATATGGTTTGAACTTTGAATATAAGTATTTTTCTCGATGTTTAAATAGCCCACCCCATTTACCACGATACCACGGTTGAAACTGAGAACTGAAGTACACTCAAACCAAAACACACTGAGTTCTATATTTTATATTATTTCATTTTTTTTACGGGAAAAATCAGATAATACAGTTAGCATAATATACGAGTATAACATTAAAATTAATACCCATATAAATATATAGAGGTATTCAGGTATATACAGTCTCCTTTAGAGAAATTTGTGTTTTGAATACAATCATTTATTATTGAATTTAAATTTAATGAATCCATCATAGTAACCTAATCTACTCAATTAAAATATACAACCTATTAAACAGAGCAAGTACTAAAGTTTTTATAAATAAATAAAATTGTTTTACCACCATATTATAAATTATGGTAGACACAATTTAAATCTATATAACAATGTATAATACTAATTAGTAATTACTATCTACAGTTAGACAAGCCACAATACCACAACACGTGATATTAAGCAAATGGTGTTCTCATAATTTATAAAAGAACAGATACATTTGAAAAATTATATCAATAGCCAGTAAGCATTCATTTAAGAGGAATTCTAGACCAATTAAATACAAAAACAGATAAAAGCATATAACTTAAAACGAAATTTCAAGAAAAACCCCAACGTCATTTTAGATACATGACTAATTCATATAAATTGTATTATGTATAGTTATCGTTTATAATATTAAACGTTTATATTTTATTGTTTGCAATATTTATAACAATTTTATTTTTTATTGAGTTTCAAAAATTTAAAAATATTATTTTTTTTTCATTTCATCGATGTTACCTGCCTATAATTATGAATATAATATAATTATTTATAATATCCGGTTTTTCTGATAAATAATACCACGTTTAATAGATAATATTTTACCAAGAACTTAACATAAGTTATACTAATTAAGTGAAATTCTAAACTAATTTAAGTATTGAAAATAAATATGTAGATACCTTACATTCAGGTATAAAATTTAATTAATATCAATCTAACCTCGCATGATTTCCGCATTGTGAAAATGTTGATAACCTCGTCTCGGTAACCTATTGAATAATCTTTTTCATGAATTCATTAGATGAAACTTAACTGTGTGTTAATTTGATTAGTGATATTATACCTATGTAAGTTATTCACCTTGAACTTTATTTAACAAAGATATGAATTAGTTCAGAAAGTGACTATCAATATAAGTTACCTTTTGCGTTTTAGATTTTAAATAAAATGATTATTGGTTTTACAATTATGTGTTTTTGCTATAGAAAAATTCTCCTATCATTAACATCGATGAACGTTTCTAGTAGCGAATCTAGTTCTTTAAAGGGTCTAAAATAGAATTTTTTTAATATAAAAAGATTAAAAAAAAAAAACACGAAAAATAGGGAAAGTAAATAAGTCTGTTAAACTTGTACAGTAAGCTTAGAGAATATCTCATCATTGAGTAAGTTAGTGTAATGTATAAATAATAAATAAATTGTAAATATTGAACTTCGATTTAATGATAAATCATTTCACACAATTTTTTTTAATTCAACTGAAAAATGACAAAAATTTTGTTTTTAGATATAATATTAAGTTTTTAACATAATTTTCTTACAACAATAAAAAAAATATATATATAAAAATATTTAGAAACAAATATTTTTATATTAATCGTTTAAAATTCAAAATTTATCAAAATCACGAATATATGTGAAAATTATTCTGTAGTTAAATTTATTAAAAATGTGTAATCAATATACTCAAGTTTAATATTTAATATTTATAAATTATAACTTATAGATATAAAATTCTAAAAAAAATTAAATAAGGGTAAAACACTAAAGCCAAATTTGTTTTTATGAAAAATTTAAATTTCAAAACCGAGAATTATTTTAAAGACATATAAGGTTGACTACCGTCTTCGCTTAGAATTGATTATATCATTGGTTTCAAATTTAATACATCCTAAACTAACATTGAAACAGTGACAATTAACATATTGGCTATTAGCTCAATATCTATAAACACTTATGTACTACCTACATAACAGAAGCTAATTTCCCAGTTTTAAAATTTGTTATTTAACAATGGGCTTTCTTAGGTATTCAAATAAATACAGCTGTTCAAACTAGGTACTCATCTACCTTTATATTGTTACTAGCCACTAGGTACCACTCTCTATATAATATACATTATACACTTATACTTAAATAATGAAACACTATATGTTAATCAGATTAATATTCACGCGGGCAAGAATAAAAATATATAATATTAGTGGAACACGTAGTCTTATTTATCTATAGCTACAACGATTTTTTTTTGTTCTAACTATTTATTTTAATGAATCACAATTCGTTTCAGTTCATCAGACACCAACGAATGTGATACACAATAAATACAAGTATCAGACATTGTACATTTATTTTTTACCAACGTACTTTGTCTAGTGATATGTATATCAGAGGTTCTCAAACTATGCACACACAATAATACTCGTGAAGAAATTTTGATTCGCTGGCCAACTTAATTTAAAAACAAAAATACAATTGTTTTAAAGATCATAACGACACATATCAAAATAAAATAAACAAAAAATACAATTACTAATTTCTTATATAGTAAGAAAATTGGATGTTGGTTTATAATGCATGTATCACATCTTTATAAAAACAATTACTAACTGCGACACTGCGCCGAAAATATTTTTGACCATAACTAACCCGGTTTAGCCGTTTAGCGAGACTAAACATAACCTAACCTAAACCTGGATCTGAGATTCGCCAGTCTACATTCATATACGCACGTTATATAACACAATATCTATAGATTTAAAGAAGTCACAAATACAACCACTTCTATTACATAATGGTTGTTTTAATTTTATGCATCGATCGTGACTAGAACGAACAGAGACATGTGCTTGTGCCAAATGGTGTATATATATTATACAGTTATAGTTATAGTATTCTTATATCGGGTGCAGCATACAACATGAACGTGTAGTAATTAATAACATCATTGCACACGTAGGTATAGTTTATCTATTCTTTTTTAATACATACATAGATGAACCGTGACATAACCGTACATAATTCGTAAATTTCAATATGAAGCTACAATATTCTGTGTGATAAATAATAAGTTTTTGTTACGCATGCAAATAGTCAATAATAAAATTCAATAAAAAATAATACTTATATTTTATTTTATAAAAATAATATACACACATATATCTAAATACGTAACGCAATTGTTTAAATAATTTTTGTTGATTCGAAAATGTAAACAAAATATAATACATTTTTTTTTTTTAATGCTTAATTATGTGTAATTACTAACGTTCGTTGTGTTATTACGGTTAATGTAACGAATAATCGCCATGAAATATTTTTAAAAGTATGTATTATATAAATAGAAATCCGCCATTATTTATAGAACCATCCGCGTGTGACTCGCATATTATGGATCACTTTAGTACAGATATTTGGGTGGGACCATTTTCCTCCAAAAATGAGATGTTATTTACTTTCACAGTTCATTTTATACCTAAATAATAAATAATTATTTTCCAACCTAATATTTCTATTTTCCTCCACAGAAGTTTTTAAATAAGAATCATGTCAATCATGTTTGTGTTCTTCTTAATATTAATTTTATACAATATTTATTTTAAATATTTGATTTATTTATTTAATTTGTTTTATGCATAATACCTACTAAATTATTTGATTTTTACTCTTTTGTATAAAAATATATAAAACACACAATAATTCACAGCCCCGATAATCAACTAATAATGCCAAGACTAAAAAAAATATATTTTTTCGTAGAAATATTTATATTAATAAAATAAAACAAAACTCAATATACATATAAAAAAAAGCTCTTCCTGATAATACCATAAGTAAGTAGTGTCCAGCCTTACACGTGAACACAATATGAAACCAAGTAATTCGTTATTTTAAATTCAATTAACTCCCAAATTTTAGCATTATTTTATTATTTTAAAACTGTTTTAGATATTATCGCAAAAATATAAAGAAAAAAAATAAATTAACTACCATAGTAATCCTTAAGTATCCTACGCATAAAAATGAAATTATTTAATTTATAAATTATGAATAAGAAGATGAATAGTTAAAAATTAAAGGTTACCTATAATTTATGACATTGAATAAATTATTACAAAAATTTAAATTATCTATTTATGGTTATACATGCATAAGAACACATAAATTATTTTATATTAAACAATTGAGTGTACTTATCAAACTGTATGAATAAAATTCATAAATTGAAGAATTTTAAAACTAAACGTAAATCGTAATTATGATAAAAAATTTTGAAGGTATTATTCAACTTTTTGCTAATTTTTGAATACTTATATATAATTGGAAAATAATCAAATTTATTTTATTTATATATTTTATTACAATGATAAAAACATACTTCCCTTTTCGTTTCAAAATCGGTTTGTTTGTAGATATTATAATATTTTTGGACGGTATTGATAAAAATTGTAAGTACCTCGTCTCTTTTTTTACTTTGCTAAAAGAAAGATAATTGGTTGGTACGTCTGTTTAAATTTGAGCGGTTCACTATATTATACTTGGAGCATTATACCGCTAGATAACGTAATTGGCGTAAAAACAAAATCGTCAATTTACAAACCACGATCCACGAGGACTAAGGAATTATCTTATCAAAAAAGTAAAAACTAAAAACGTAAAAGAGTTAACAGAGTAAAATAAAATTAGTAAATACGTAAAATTACTATGAAATAAAATAAAATATATATACAATAATAATGACAATGGAAATGAAGATATTATATCACAGTAAAAAGTTAAGTACTTGATAGTAACTGTATAAAAATTTTTAATCACAACTAAAATGTCAAAGTATGTACAAGGTACATAATCATTTTATTGGCTATACAGTAGGTATACACCAAACTGTATTATTATCTCGATTAATAGCGTTTTGGGTAAAATAGTTTTTATATTATTTAAGTCTTACATCCATATTATAACTAATATTATATTTAAAATATTACTGTATTTACAAAACCATTAAGAAAATCAGAAAATAAAAATCTTACCTGTCTGAAAAATGACTGTCGTACTAATATTATACTTTAGTGTAAAATTACAAATAGCGTTTATGTCTGTAGAGTAAAAACAATGATTTGATTCTATAAAAATGAATTATAGAAACGCACGATTAATGTAGGTATTCTAAATCGAAGCCTTATGGCATAAGTACAATTGTAGTACGGACTATAATAATAGGTATTGTACGTCTGTACTACTGTAGACTCAAACCGTTTAATCGTGAATTTGTATTTAGCGAACGTTAGACTATTTAGTGACGACTTCTCAGTACTCACTACACAGTACACGATAGTGGAGGATGAAAATCGGCATAGCATCGCATGACACGATGACCCGCAGCGATCCTAGTGAGCAGGTTTCGTTATACAAAAATTGTAGTATAAAAAAATAAGTTATAGCCTATAGGTGAGATAGGTTTTCTTTATAATAAATGATATATATCATGTTCATGTGGTATGCAAGTTATCGTACAACGTAAATTATGCTGTACGCGTGTCACTTATATATTGTTGTACATACGCGTTTAATCATTAAATTATTTTCTGTATAAATACATGATAATATTAGAATATTTTATTTCTGTTGATTGTCGATATGACGATATCCAGTACAAAAAAAAAAAACTGTTTTGTAGTCGAATGATTAAAAGTGGAATTTTTTTTTTAATAAACCTAAATATCATAATATATATCTAAAACATAATTACAATTCTTTATTTAAAAGATATCTAAAAATCAATTTGTTTAATATGAATATCTCCTCTACATGATATCTATTTAGGTACCTATCCTACGACGTAGATACCGGGCAAAAACATTTACATAAAACAAAAATAGTTCGATAGAAATAAAAATTTTCATGATATTACAACCTTTATAAATATTATAATTTATAATATAATATAGTGTGAAATAACCATAGTAGATAGTATGAACTTAAATATAATCTTGATAGATACCTAGGCTACACAATGTTTAAATTAAAAATCCATTTGGATATTTAAGTAATATAATATAGGATATACCTACGTATTATTTAACAATTACACATTATAGCCTATAAGTAAGAGCATAGGCTAACTAATATTTTAAGCTATAATAAAAAACGGTCTAAACAGTAAAAAAAAATTAAAAAATCCACAAAGGTCATTAATAATTACCTATTATAAACAATAGTTATTAGACAAATTATTGATATCTTCGAATTCCAATACCTAAAATACATTAATATATAGTCTAATTAAATATTAATATTAAGTCAAATGTAACTGTATTATAGTGCATAGTAATACTAAGTTATATTTATATTTTATTTAAATCAAAATATAAAGAATTTCAATTAACTATTATAGTATTAGTTACCTATTATTTTATTATTTATTTCAGCTCGTATCTGGTATTTGTAGTTCCTAGGTTAATATAATAATAAATATATATATAATTTATTACATAGCTGAAAAGTTGACTTAATTTTATAGGTGTACAACACTATTGATTACATTATATTACTAATATTAACACTAAAGTTTTCTTAAATATTTATATTTACACATATCGAATTTTTATAATTTGATTGATACACATAGCCTCACTAGGTTATTAACTATTTTATAAATTGTATTTTTATATAATTTTTATTAATTAGGTTTGTCTTTGGTTTTATTAGACTAAATTTCATATAAACGTTTTATTTGACTCTAAATAATTATCCAAATTGTTGAATATAGACTTTACCATGTAAATATCATAATAAGTAAGGTGTGTATATTATGTAATTGTAATATAGTCTATTTATAAGCTAAAAAAATAATATGTCAAACTAAAATATTTATTTTATTAGAGTTTAAAACTAATATAAGCTTAAGCTTACAATAGTTTATAATATTCAAGTAGCTATACCCTATACCTATATCTACATATTTTTTACTTATTTTACTACAGCTATAACATAGTTTAAGTCTACAGTTATTATTTATTTATACCAATTTTAACAGTTAAAAATAATTTTTTTTAATTAAAGTATTGTTTGTTATTTAAACACGTAAATTAATAACTAAAAATGTTTTAATCAGCTAATTTAATAATTAAGCCATTAAGGACTAAGATTATGTATTTTTAGTACATTTTATTTTTTAACAACGAAAACAAATATTTTAAATTAAAAAAGTGAACAATCATCATTATTTAGTATTTACTTATTAATTATTATTAGGATAGTATGAATTACACATTATTTTTGTTACAATTTCGTTGTTCTATAAATATTATAAATATGTTATAAATTAGGTTCTACCTAATTACCTACTTTATGTATAAAAAAAAATGTATAAAAATATTTTATCGACTGAGAACAAGAGCAGGCACAGATAGGTAGGATAGGCTATTGACAGAATACTTGATTATTACTGATGCAATAGCGAACATTAATGAAAACATGTAGGTTACCTACCTAAATGTATTAAAATAATTTTAAATCATACAAGTATATTATCTCAAGTATATATATTAATATAAAGGATTAAAGAAAATTGAATTAACGAATTGTACAGAAATCAATTGTTATAAACCAGAATCAGTGTATAAAACATATTTTAATAATATACCTAATAATTAATAATTATTAATGAAAAATATTAAAATAAATATATAAAGAAATAAAATACGCTCTACATCCTGTTATAAACATACTTAGTTGAAATAATGAAAAGTTCGGTAATATTAATGTATAAAATTATAGATAAACGTTAATAATGCTATACGATACCGCCTAACAATAAATTTAGTATGTATTGTATCATATCAAGTTAAATATAAATTAATATATGAATAAATGATAATATAATAGGTACGTAACTAGTTTTAAGGATTTTAAATTTATAAAAGCGTAGTAATGGCACAATAGTAGGTAGGTACTTAAGATGCCACATAAAATGTTGAATATCTTTACTCCACATTTTTTAAAACTTTAAATACTTTTAACTATTAACTACTCATCCTAAATTCGATTTTATGAATCAAAATAATTCTAAAAAGTATTCCATTTGAAATTAAAATGTATGTAGGTTGTTATTCAAGAGTAAAAATTTAAAAAGTGATAACAATAAAAAAATTGTAAAATTAATATTTTCAAAAAGTTAAAATTTATCGAAATATTGAGTGTATAAACACAAATGAATCACCTTATAAATTGTATATTTATGTATATATATATATATATATGTTACGGTAAATGATGTTAAATGGAAATTAACGTTATTCACCGGTTATTAACGTTATTTACCAAATATACAGGTAATTATCGTTATAAACTGGATAATCACGTTAATGACCAAATACACAGGTAATTGATGTTATAAATCAGATAAGCGCATGAATCTCAAATACTACAATTTGAAAAATTATGTAAGTACCCAGATATTTTTAAAAATAGAATAAATGCATTATTATTTTTTATTTATTTTTACAAGTTTTACTCCCATGACATTTAATATAACATAATTTTTCAGCCCCAAGGTAAGCACAATGCTTATTATTATTACAACTAGTCTTGCAATGACAACGCTGGTACCTTCGAGGGCTCGCAACCGAATTATTACTAGCTACTTCCCTCAGTGTCAACTGTCTACCATCTGCTAATTTTATCACATTGTCCATGTCTAATAGATTTTATTTGCAAACAGCTATTTTTGGCATGTGAAATAATATTTTTAGAAAACTATATTCCGTATTTATAAAATAATAAAACAAATTTTAATTTTAATAGTATATTTTTTCATTAAGAATTAACTTACAGAGTTTGTATAAATCATGTTCAACTTGAGTGACAACTGATAGTATATTTTGCATAGAACCACGAGCTCTATCAACGTTTGGTATAAATACACATACAGTTAAGCCTATTTCAAGCTGAGGAAATTTTTCTTTAGAAAATTTCATCATTTCCTCTCCTTGTTTTTCTAAATTTTTTTTTGAATTTTTACATGCAATACAAATATTTTCTTGACAATCATCAAAAAAATATTTAAAATAATTTTCAAATATTTATATTTTAGTTTTATTTTTGTTATATTTAAAATTCGGAAATTTATCGTTAAATAATTAAAAAATATTTAAGTACCAAGTTCCGAATTTTTTTCTGCGATTTCTATGATTTAATTTCCGATTTTGTCTTCTTTGATGATTGGTTCTTTGGTTATTTTTTTAAATCTTCCGCAATAACCTCTTTTATTTTATAATCAGATCAAAATTTCCCAAATTATACGGTTATTAACGTTATTCACTAGAAAATAACGATAATTCCCACATTCGTAGGTAAATAACGTTAATAACCGGCGAATAACGTTAATTTCTGATATAACATCATTTACCGTAACATATACACATTGGCACAACTAGGGGGGGGGGGGTGCAAAAGAATCTTTAGTACCTCCTAGTTCAAATTTAGCACTCCTTATTTTTTATACCTAATTGTTATTGTTTTAGTGAAATATCATGGCTCTGTGAAATATTAACAGTTTTAGCAACCCACAATTTATATATATGTATATGTATGAGCACTTATGTATATATATATATATATATATATAAGGGTAAATTAGGTAATCACACTACTATATAGTACTTATATATATATATAGATGTCGAGGAAGATACAGTGTACTTGTGTACTTTGTCGGCTTGTCATTGAGTAATTCACTGACCACTATAATACATTAGTGTTAAATTTGAATTTAATGATAAATCATTACAATATACACAAAATACAATAAACGATTCTGATCGATCACTGCCTGTATTAGTATATTAATAATTCTGTAATGCATGAAAGATTATTTAATGGTTCAATAAAATTTAATGGACCAATCATATTTAAGGGATCATTAGCTTACCATATATCGATTTATTAATTGCTTAGTGATTGTTCATGCAAGCCGTCATAAAAATAGTTCATTAATGGTTTTTGATATTGCTTTTAAAGTAATTTTTTATTAATATAATATTAGATATGATGTACTATGATGGTTTAATTTCTGCTGAAAATATTTTATTTTTTAAATTATTAATTAATGAATTACCCGTCGACCGTCACAGCTTTTCCCGCGAAATACTAACAGGCCCTAACCTATACAGATGATAAATAATAATTTATGAAAACAATTTTAATATAAAATGTCTCTATATACTACATTTGTTTAAAAAAATAATAACGATGCTATAGAACAGTGAAGCCTAATTTTTAACCACATCAGAAATCAGAATAATTCAATAATTATAATATATTTTATTCTGCCAGTTTGAAGTCTGAAAAAAGTAGGACTGCAATCATTGATTTATCTTTAGATTATAACGTATTTTTTTGATAGTAAAAATTCTTGAACTTCAAAAATATTTTCTGGAATATTTGTTTGTACTCGTATGTTTCTACACGAGTACGTTCTAACACGAATTCATTTAACGTCACTGTAATCTAACGTGTCCAAACTATTCTTTGCAATTTCAGAAAACGTATTATTTTAATTGGGCGATCAGTCATGTCTTTAACTCTTTTACACGCACTTCTAATAATTTGACAATTTTATTTTATTTATCAGTATTATGGTTAGGATTTAAATTGCTTTTCACAGTAACACAGTTACATTTCAATTTTAAATTAGTCTTGTTAAACACGCTTTTATTGTACAATGCCAAGTTACATTACCAAATATACTAGTTATACTTTCATACATTTTTCTGAATTTAAAACTGTTGATCTTAACTATTGTTCTATAAGTAAATCTTTAAAATTGTTACTTTCATTTTCTGCAATATAATTTTATTTTCTGTCATTTCTGAAACAAAACTACACCAAACAGAAATTTATAATAATTAATAATAGTGAAGTACGACGACGACTGACTTGCGGTCGAAATTTGAGAAATACCGTCGTAAAATTCCGTATAAACTATACTAACTATAGGCAATAAAAATTATTTACAGCAAAGACACAAATTTGGATATTATTAAGGATAAGTATACCTATTACCTACCAATGGGCTATGAAGGTATATCAAGTCACGACTGATATAAAAATTAAATTTCCCCAATGCACTGCAGTGGTTTAAAAATGAAAATAGTTGGCTAAAATTTAAAATATATTTTTTAACCACACGTTGCTGTCAAATTTATTGATTTTTAAAATACATGGCCGCAAACAAGTATTTTAAAATCTTTTAATTTTATTAAACACAATCGAGATTTTTGCATTTAGGCGCAAACACATGCAGTTTACCCGTCCAGCAGAGCGGTACCCATTTCCTATTTTTTTTTTTAAGAGCATTGGAATTTGGACATTTGATTTTCTGTCTTTGTCTTGAGATCGACTTTCATTTTTTATTTTTTTATTTTAACTTCTCCAAAAATTGAAATATGTAGATTTTTTAATTACTTTGGGAAAGTCGATCTCAAGTAGATTTGACGACAAATTCAATTTTATTTTCAAAATTCTTAGCGCTTCATTATAATTGCCAATTGGTACGTTGGACACATCTATTTAATCCTATTTTGCTGATGTATTAGACAAATAAAAAATCATCGCTTCCAATCCTCTTAACATCAAAAATTAACAAAATTATGCGTGTCATTTTAATAACGAAGCCTATGTTTAATTTAAATATGTCATATTCGTATGGGCCGTATGAAGTGATAAAAATATTTTGTGTGGTGGAAAACTGAAAACATTAACTAGGTAAGTAAAAAATTGCTTTATAAAAAAATAAATTATTAGAATATTTGCTCTTAAAATTAAAAATTATAATTTATAAATAGGTCTTTATTTTCAGAGAAAAAAGATGGAATACGAGAATTAATTAAGCTAACGAATATTGACTATATATAAGTGAATAAAAATGACACCCATTAAATTACGCTAATTTCAAATTCTACAAATTATTCATGAAAAAGTACCTATATCTGTATATGATTATATGAATGATGAATCTCTGGATAAAAGCTATTCGTTTAAAAAAAATATTCACTATATCGTTGTGGCTATACACATACTGAATAGTGATTATCAAGATAATTTATGTATACCATGGAAATATTTTATTATCAAGTCATTACCATAGACCCCATGTTCTAGTGAAGAAGAAATCTTTTAACGATATAAGATGATAATACAATACTTAAATAATTACATTTTTAAACATATTAGAATTAGATACGTACCTATAATAAAGCTCAAGAGTATAGATTCAAACTGCAATTTGTGTAGGTAAACAACGTATAGAAACGTATCCAAGGGAGTTAGGAGGTTGTAAATTTCCTGAAAACTGTTAAATTAAAAAAAAAATTGCTAAATATTCAAATACTGTTATTTTTATTAAATGTATACAAATAAACACAATAAATAATTTTAGAAAAAATACAAATAACACCTGAACTAGTGTGGATCGTTAACTATTAATTGTACGAATTAAATAAATTTCAGTTAAAAATTATTTTCTGTCGACACGACGCCTAGAGGTCATCTCCAATACACGTCAAAAATATAACTTTAAAGATTCCTGTAAGATAACGTATTCGATTAACTGTTAACAGTTTAGCAGTACAACACTACAGGACTGTCGCTAACCTACATTGCATGATAGATACAAATGATAATAACATATAAATATTTATAAATTTTAATATCAAAAATATGCGTTGTTTTAATTTCTAATAAACACACCTCTCCTAATACCTATCAAATTCCTCATCTAAAAATCATTACTGAAATCAATTTGGATACATGATATTCAACTATGGGGAATCATAAAAAACAAACTTAAATAAAATTCAATCTTTCCAAAACATTACGCTAAGAAAATTAAAAAATGCTTCCCCATACATATCAAATCATACTTTTCAAACAGATCTGAAATTAAAAACAGTCCTCGAAGAAGCCAAACACTTTTATAAAAGATTCCACAACTGTCCTCACTCATTCAAATTCTTTAATTAAATTCTTTTCTCTCTCACAATCTCAGGCAGACGCTTATAACGATAATCGTGTAGAGACCTTTTACAATTTTAAACAAAAAAAAATCAACATGTAATTAAGTAAATTATTTTTATATCTTCTTAAAAATAAACAATTAAGTGTCATCATATAGGTAGCTTATTTACTTACGTTTTTCTTTTTTGTGTGTACTTAAATACTCAATACTCATTATGTTATTTTTCTTATATCACATACACTTGTTATGTCTACTTATATAAATTGTATATTTTGACTTCAAATAATAAAAAAATAAAAATAATTGTAAACGTTGTAAAAAATAATAAAAAGTATAATAATAATATAAACCATTCAAAATCCAAAATAAATAAAATTAATCTATCACATTTTTAATCCTAGCTCTTCTATCTTCAAAAAAAAATTTTAGATACGAAAAAGTACCTGTAATTATATATTAGATACAAAATGTAAATATTTCGATCGTTAGAACTTTGTATAAATTATTATAATTTAGAAATAAGTATAAAGAATAAAATAAAAACTGACATGGTGACACTTGAGTCTTGAATTACGTAATATAATTTCATATATTAATATGATAAATTATGTATTAAATATATTAAATAAATGTATAGTGGACCGTTAGTATATACTGTATAGTATGCACTTTAAATTATATATTGAGTACACTATATAGTGTATAATTTATATATTATTATAGGACATATATGTATTACAATATTATTAATATTATTATAAATTTATTAAACCTATTATAGAACTAATGTCGTCCACCCCTTGAGCCGGGCCTGTTTATTATGTTACTATGAATAATAAACGTTGTTTTGACAACTAAGAATTTTCATATCTTATAGCTGATCCAGTAAATGTTATACACACATATTATGGTCTTGAGTTCATAAAAAATCTCGTCGAAAAAAGCACTTTCAGATTTCCCGAATTTTTTTGATTTAGCGTACCTAAAACTTTTCCAATTTTTCTTTCTGTAAAAACCTTATTTGAACTATTACGAATCATTTTTTTTTTAATGAATTCAATCAGTCAATTCGTTTTCAAGTTATGCACTTATCTAAGAACAGCATTTTTTATATGTATATATATATATATATATATATCTAATAGATAAACAGAAAAGGTTACTGTGAAATACATAGGAAAAAGTTGAACATGTTTATGAGTGAAAATACGTTTTTCAAGGATTAATTTATTTGATAAAGATATAGGTGAATGTGTTTCGTATGTCTAACAATGATTTATTATGTTATAGTCGGCTAATTAAATATTGTAATTGAACAAATGTAAAAGTCAATGTACTCTTTTAATAATTTATGTAAACCATTTTGTATAACCATCACGCATCTACGTCTTAAAATTATAATTAGGTAAAGGTAAACAATGTGAAACACGTATGTACCTAAATGATATACAGTCCATACCTAAACAGGGGTAAATATTATACCCATGATATTAAACCTATGTCAACAACAACAAAAATAACAGTTACAATTATAAGCTACGATTACCTACCATAATTTCTGTGTAATCCTATAATATAACAAGAAATTATCCTCTAACTGGCTTCAAAGCTTACATTACCTATATTTACATTTTTTATTCGAACATTATGGGTAACTCGTAGAGCGCATTAGAGAAGTAGTTAGATCGTACAGGTTCAATGTCCAATACGTTTTAATAAAAAAGCATCATTAACGATTAACATTATTGATAATATTATGTATTCATATTCCAATGTACAACTTACAATTAAAAGGTACCGGATAAGCGTTAGGCCGTAAGGCGTAAGGGTAATATTCAATAAATGTCTACAATGATTATCATTACAAACATTGTAAATAGGTATAAATCAAAAGATTTATACAATTACTATACTAGAAATCTTAGGAACTAGCTAGCTCTATTGTATACTAAAGATTATTTTGTACAAAAAACTTTTCTAAATGGAGGTGTTACGTACTACACAGTGTACCTATCTATTGACTATTATTAAGGGCATTTTATCGTGTTATATAATCTTATATTTATATAATTAGGTATATCTTTTTTATTAGTAATTTATTTTACTATTAATAATAATTAATAAGAATATATTATTATGATGGGTTGAATTAATTTTTTCGAAAATATCGCATTTTTTATAAAATTTAAACAGAAATAACAGCATTTTAATAGGTAATCAAAATATAATAGATTGTTTAACTTTTATTTACCACTCCCGAAAATTTTGTTTGTTTGTGGCATTTGTAAATCACGTGGAGTATGAGCATGACGCCATGACATGACTACAACTCATATAGGTACCTCCATATATATAATATTATACAGTACCTATAGCTATAGGCTATAGTATATAGGTACCTAATTACTAATTAGTACTAAGAATACTGCGCATTTAGGATTGGTGGAAATTTAAATAATTTATTCATAGCAGAGTTTGATGTTAAGTTATACCTAATCAAAAATAAATAACAATTAGACATCTTGCATCATTAATATTATTAAAATACGCGCCGTAAACATTTATAATCTAAAAAATAACGCGAGTTCATTGCCTAGTGTCAATGAAAAGTATATAGTGTACATCATATCCCAACAGATAACACCGATAACACCGTGCTTAATGTTATTTCACGGAAGATAGTATTTTTTGTCAATTTTAGTACTTATAATTTTCGGCACAAAAAAATATAATAATATTAATTTTGATAATTTACTTCATGTCAGAAAACGAAATTAAATATAATATATTAATATTATTAGGTAGGTACCCTATGCTACAATTTCAATTGTTATTAATTTAAAACCTGATAAATTTACGGATCTGAGCTTACATCAGTTATAAGTTTATAAGTTATGACATGTTTTACTATAGATAATATAATATCGACACGTGTCTGATATAATATATTATACTGTTTTACTATAAAAATAATAATAATCAGTAAGATATAGACAAGATCCATTACGTCAAATCTATTTTATCAGTGTGTAATTGTAGGTACCTACATAAGATTATTTTTGATTGAAATTAAAGTTAGATATACTAATTAAAAAAAGAAATTCTAATTTAAATAAAAATCAACAGAATTTACTTAGTTTTGTCGTAAAGTTACAAATTTAAAAAAAAAAGTGAGAAACATATTAAAATAATATTTAATTTGAAAAATCAATTCTTTAACTATATGATTTTATAAAAATATATTTATTTTAGACTAATACAACGCGTGAATAGGTACCAAAATATGTCTTGATAAAAAAAAAAAATGATAGAAAAAGTTTTGAGTTTTACTTATTATTTATACCTCTAAAAAGTACATAATTAAAATAAGTACCTATATAATAATTATTAATAAGTTTTAAAAAATAAATAATTAATTTTTTTTTTTGGAATAAGATTACTTTTATTACCTACCTACACAATTTCTTTTTATCTATTTTTATTTATTACGCAAATTAAAACTCTAAAAAGTAGTGTAAATTCTATTTATTTTTTTTTGTTTTGCTGATTTCGGCGTTGGTTGAGGCCCTATATTAGTATTTCAACAGATTTTGCTTTTTACTTTTCAGACAGTTAATTTATTATTAATGCGAACGTCATTGAAGGTTATAATTCTATTATTATGTATTTATAACTACGCAGCTATTAATTACAATTTATAAACATGATAAAATTCCTACTATATAAAAAAAAGAATACCTACGAGATATAAAAAAAATTAAGTGAGTTGCTGACTTAAATATTACTTATAACTGAGGTATTATGAGTTCTATTAAATATATCAGTATAATATGAAAATGGCATAGCTAGAAAAATGTTTTGTATTGGAACAACCCCCTTGCCATATTTATGTAAAAAAATATATTTACTAAATACCTACATATATTATATGCTTTAGATTCGTATAAAATATATAGTTATATGATTCTATTTATTGATTTAATAAATGGAGTTTAATTACTAAAATTAAGTGTGTTAAGCTCAATACACAATACAAATTTAAAATTAGAATAAAATTAAAACAATCCACCAAGAAAAATTATGCCTATTCATCAGAAAAAACTTGTAATATGAACTGTATGATAACAACTCACTACAATTAAGTGAGAGGGGAAGTCAGTTAAACAGTATTACTCTAAATTCTCTGATACTTATTGATTGTCTTGAATTTGATAGAAATAATGGAAGGTAACTAATATTTGATACTTATTGTTGTCGGTGTCGCAGAGTTCAATTTTAACTAAAGTTTATCCACTCACCAAATTTATTAGGTACCTATTCAAATACTAGTTATTATTTAAAACACTCCTTAGTACACTAAGTTCACTCCTTTTACAACACATTTGTATTTATGATTTTATTTTATGTACCTATTTATTTCAATAATAGTTATAGTTTACAAAAATTTGATTCCAAGTTTCTATGCATTAATATAATATGAAAAATGATCAATTAAGTTTTATTTAATCATTAAAATTACCTCTTAATTGCTAAGACTAGCCATCTCGATGATTCTGATATTGTAAGATTTGTTCAAGAAATTTTATGTCAATTAAAATATGAATTATTTTATGATTTTCTGCTACTTGATTTTTCTTATTTTCTTACATCTATGAAAGAATAGCTATATATAAGTATTAAATTTTCATAACAATTGAAGAACTTCTTTTATTTCAAGTATATATTTATATAATACATACTAACAAAGTAATATTTCATCAAAGACTAGATCATGGATCAACATTTCCTCAATTTTTTACCCAATTAATAAACCACATTATGTATAAGTGTATAACCATAAATTTAATATAAATAATTATTATTTTTAATGGAAAAATTGTATAGGTTAGATTAAACAACACTAGTACACAGCATAAAATAATATGATATAAAAAAACTTGAGTGTATGACTGGACTATAATGTAAATATGTGATTACATGGTAGGCCTCAACTGTATTGGCATCTATGTATTAAAACTGTTTTAGAATTTAAAATGATGGATTTTTAAACTAAAATTCATAATAAGCATTTTTAACCAGTCTGATACTGAATAATTCAATGTACAATACATAAAAGTATCTATTATAAATTTATTATTTAATTATACATTTTTAGTATTATAATTATTTACTTCATTTAGTTGTTTGAACAGTGGTCATCAACTTAACACTGCTTAAAATTAAAATGAGTATTAACATGTGAATTTTTATCATATCTATGTAAATAATAACCCGATAGCTATTAATATTGTAATACTATAATAATGTAAATAAGTAATAAGTAACTAAATAGTTACCCAATACCTATCCTACTATAGAAATAGTTTTAATAACTCTAGACAAATATTTTTACTTACCCACCCACTCAAAATTGTAGGTAGTTCAAATTTACCACCATAGAGTGTACTCACAATCACTAGTTACACTATTTATTGCAAATATATCTATATTCTAGTATTAAAATAATATTTCAATGTCAAAGTTATTTTTTATTTGCATGAAAGGAAAACGTTTTGTGAAAATTAATTTGTGAACAATAAATACAAAGTTGTGAGATTTTAAAATTGGAGGGAATAAAAAAAATTAAGAAGAAACAAGCAATTTTTTTTACCAATTCAACTAAATATAAATGATGATCAAAATGTTTTAAATAATTTGAATTTTGAGAAATACTGAAAAATTATAAAATAAGATGAGTAAGATGCATTAAACCAAAACATAAATTAATTTTCTACTCAACTTACTAGAGTATAAACAATAAACGTAGACATAATTATTAAAATAAATTAAAATTTTTATTTATTTTTTCATCAATATTTCACGAATGTCCTTGAAAAATTGATTGAAGTAATGTAGATTATGTCTGAAAAAAAAAATTAACTTTTTAACATAATCTATATTTAGGTGGATATTTTTCAATATACATACATGGTTAATAATGTAGAACCTAGAAGTTCATTTGAGACTAGTAGATGGTGAATATAAGATCGAGTATGTTTTTTACAGGTCAAACACGTACATGAATCTTTTATTGGTACAAATTTCTCAAAATGACTGCAATTTTTCATATCAAAATATACACATTAATAAATATTATATTATTATTTTATTACACAATTTAAAAAATGAATATATTACCATGTATCTGTTAAACATATTTCATAATCATTTGAATTGTTGACATTTTCATCTGTTTTACAATGAAGAATGTCCATGATAATACTGTCATTTCTGGAATTCAAAGCAATAAATTTTAATACGCTTAGTAAAATGAAAAAATATAATTAAAATGAAAAAAAATCTTACTTATATTTTAAACTGTAATCAAATATTAAAGCCGAATTACGTTCAGTTGTAATGTATGGGAAGGATGAATCAAACATATCCACCCCACTATTTATAAAATCGATTATTAAACTAGGAGTCCAGGCACCGAATATGATTTTCATTTTATCATATGGGAGACATTCCTTATTTGAATAAAAAATTTGTAATTATATAAATACACATTATAAAATTTGAATAAGTAAATTGAGCAGTATCTTTATAAATACCATTGTTTTATTGACAATAGGTAGAATAAGATCACTAGGAATTTCTTCAACAATACTTCCATCAGTAAAAAATCCATCAAATAAAAATCCTAATACATCATCATGATATTCTGATAAAAATGTTGCAGATCGAATTCTTTCTTGTACATTATAACCACCTTGGATTGGAGCAATCACACAACTTTGTTTTAATATCTAAAAGCAAACATTAAGATATATAGTTTATACAATGTAGTTGTTATCATTTTACTCTTAAATAAGGTGATTCACCAAGCATGTTTACCCTACATTTTTTTTTTTTGATAATAAAAATCAATCTTGATTTTTTATTCAGCAATTTTCAAGTTTACTTAAAGACAATATTTTCAAATAAATTAGATTTTTTTCTTCTAATTTAAATAGTGTACTGTGTTACCAAAATTTTTTTTTTATTACTATTTAAAAGTAGAAAAATCAAATTTGAATAAATAATTTCTGAATTATTGTACATAATATACTTATGATAATAGGTTTAAAATATGATAATTTAATTAAATAATATTTTAGCATTTTATAATAATTGTAAAAATTATCTATGTATAAGTAAACTAGACTAAAATATCATACCTATTTTATATACAACTATATTTTAAAAATGCTTAATTTTTACAAATAATTTAATTAAAAATTATTCATTCAAATTTTAATTTAAACACATTAACGTGTTCAAAAATACATTCTACTTAACTATTCACAGTAAAATGGTTGGTTCTCGTTAGAAAAAAAGAAGGTGATATCACCTTAGGATATTCCTTAAGTGGTATAGACCTTAAATATAAGTATCCAGAGACATAAAGTAAACTTAAATATTCTAAAAACCAGAATTTTAATCAATGCATTACAAAAAGATATAAAATGAAACATCTTGTGTACTGTATAATTAACATTTAAAATATTTATAAATTTTTTGTAAATAATAATACTTTAGTAAGGATAAATATATTTTCAATTAAATAAATTGTATTTTTCTAAACTTTTCAGTTATATATTTCCCAGAAAATAAAATTTAATAATAATGTTATTCTACAAATACACATAAGAAAAAATGCTCTTGGATAGACTAATTGTTAAAGTTTAAAATATAAAAACTATCTCTTAAAACCATTTAATTGCAATACATATACGTTGATAATCTAAAAAAATAATCATTGAATTAGTCAATATTAAAGAATTAAGATAATACATTTTTATTTTTTATATTTTAAAACAAATTCAATTTTACAATAAAAAGTATATTTATTTAAATTAATCATACTCTATGATTAAAAATGCAATTATTTTCCATAATTAATTTTTATTTATTAACTAAGTTGACTCAAACAGGTATTGTCAAATTCAATGTAAATTACAATTTTGAATTATGGATATAATCATTATTTCTTATAGAATTTAATCATTGATTAATCAATTTTTTTTCTCGACATAAACATGTCAATTAGCTATAATTTATTATTTAAAAACAATTAATGGAATAATAATTGTTTAATGTTTAGTATAATATAATTATTAAATTAATTAAATTTACCATAAATATAACAAATGGGGCATAATACAGTTTGACAAATTTTTAATTTCAATATTTAATAAAGAAAAAAGGTGTTAATATGATACAAATTATCAAATTTTCATAAATCTATCGATAATATACAATATAAAAACAGTTATTTTAGAATAGATTTAGTAAAATATAATATTTAGTTAAATATTTCTAAATAATTAAATAGTTAAGTTTTATTATTGATTATTATTTATTAGTAATTATTTCAACTGTTAAATGATTATACCAAGTAAAATATATGTAAGTAAACAAATTACAATTTCATAGTAACACCAATAATATATTACTAACATAATTTATATTATTATCTTAGAAAATAAAAAGAAATAATGTAAAATATTTCAATAGGTCATATATACTATTTTATAGTTATCTTTCTAAGAAACACAGACTTGGTGCATACATTTTTTTTTCAACATTAAAATGATTAAAATTGTATTTTCTTGAAATTAAATCATTTTATTCTGATAAGTATATTTTACTAAATTTTTTTATGATAAAACAGTTTAATAGAAGAATAATTAATATTTTGTTTTAATAACCTTTTAAAAATATAACGAGTAATAACAAAATAAACAGAATAAAGATTGGAAACTTTTATGGTTTGTTATAATGGTAGTATAATATGTAATAATAATGCTATGATGAACCTAAACAATATAAATATTATATATATATTGATCAAAAACTTGATAACACACAGATTACAGAGTAGTATTAATACAGCAACAATGTACCCTAAACATTAAACTTAAGTACTTAGCAATAATAGGAATAATATACGATGACCACATTAAATCAGGGCATTATACCAGAATTATTAATCTGTATTTTGTGAAATGTAGTTACCATACATTGAATAAATCAAACACTATAATCAAAATTTAAAAACAAATATTACAGTGCTTTAATTCATTATTATTTGAATTACTACAAGCTATGAGTGATCCAGGAAAAACTTAATTAAAAAACATTGAACTATATACCCTATTTAATGTATACATTTTTTTCAATATATAAAACATAAATATAACTATACCTATACTCATATTATGATTACTAATGCAATTATCATTCAGGTGGTTGCCTACTTGCCTAAATTAAAAACAATTTATTTCAAAACAAATTATAACACATTATAATCTGTCAGTAATTATTATATAAACATAACTTTAAAATTTAATTAATGTTAGAACAATTTACTATATTTTGTAATAAATAATATAAAATAAAAATCTCAATTATAAATTAAACAAAAACAAATGTAAGATTTCTATCAAAACAGGAAAAAATTAAAGCAGCAAATAATGCATTTATCATAGACACTATTAGATAGCCAACTACCAAATATTATTTAAATTGTCAGTCATATTCAATCAGACCAATGTTAACAATTGTACTATATATATTATATATTAATATCTTATCTATTGAGGAATTTTGTAAACATGACCTTGTTGGAATAAGGCCCCCACATTCAACACTCTTATGGGTGGGTTTCTCTAAATTTTTTATAGCATCATTGATATAATCATAGAATTTAATATTCTATGATACAGTATTCACCACTTAATGTACTATATGTAATAATTTAGAATAGGAAAAAATAGATAAACATTAGTAAGCCAATTAACATTAAACAAAAATTGAAAAAAATTACAAATCATTTGTTATATATAAAATTGTAACTATGAAATGTTACGTGTGTTAACATTGGATATTAAATTTAATAGCTACATAGTTATAAAAACATTATTTAATTATGTAAATATGTATGTATCATTTTTAAACATGTGTTATAGAGTATGAAATGAAACATCTTTTGATTAACATTTTTATAGATAATAATAACTAATATGTTAAAAATGCATGTATTATATTAGATAGATTGTATATTTTATGATATTATGCAGTGCATTGATTAGAAATAACAAATATAGTTTATATAGAATATTAGGGTGATGTACAAAACATTTATACATGAAAATATGCACTATTTATATCATTAATAGTTACAAATGCTTAAATTTTGTCAAATATACTTTTTTTATTGGTGATATACAACAAAATATTATAATATTTATTATATTATAATTAAGACTTTATATTCAATTTCATAAATTCATTATAACAAATGTAAATCTAACCTAACCACAAAAAAATAAATAAATAAAAAAACAAGCAAAGCCAAGAAGATTAAAACCATAATTATAATTATTTATACTCATAAATTATAAATGAATTAAATACTAAATAATTCAATTTCCACGAGAACATTAATTCATACAAAAAAATAAACTCACTTCTGATTGATGATGCTGTTCCAAGCAACTTTTAAAAAGTCTATTTGAAACGTTAACTGACTTTTCAATTGCTGAAAGTGAACTATCCAAATTAATATCTGAAATGCTTAGGGTAACATACATAGTGGGTTTGAATACTTCCATGATATCCATATACCTAAATACAACATATTTTAATAAATTATATAATTCATTATAGTTTTCAATAAAAATTATGATGTTGCAGAATTGTTATAATTTCATTTAGTAATTTAAGGTAAAATAATTATTTTCTGAAACAATAAAACTATGTATAAAATATTAGTAAGATAGTTTATTTGTTCTACATAATAATACAATACTTATAAATTAAATGTATAGGCAATTAATTTAAGTTAAGTGAAAAACAAATATACATATAACTTTTTATAACATTTTAAATTAAATTAAAATAAATAAATTGTTTATTATAGCTATAATTTATAATATTTACTTTTCGTAATTAATTAATTGATTTCCACTTTTGGTTTTAATAGCAACACTTTCTTTTTTATTGTAACCTTGTGGGTTGTCTACCACACAGTCAGTTATTGAGCAGCATGACAAATACTTCTAAAAAATGTAAAAATTTATTTTTAAAACAAAACTTAATAATACAAATATATTTAAATAAAAATTATAAAATACTAATAGACATTAGTATAAATACGATTATGTTTTATGTGAATGTTATTAAACTTAAAATAAAAAAAAATACAATTAAATACTATAGTCTAATACTAAAAATATGAATTATTATTTAGGGGTAAATATTTCTTTTTTTGGTTCAGTAATGATAGAAGTTGGACAAATTAAAAATTTTCTCCAGTAAAATCTAACTATTGAACCACCACTGCTCTTATCATTAGACAAATATTTTGTTATAAGTACAAAAATTGTTCAAATCAAGACTCCTGATTAAATTAAAATGAAAATCATTAATTTTAAATACCTAAATAATCAAACTTTAAGCATTAATGCATAATTCTAGTAGAATCACAAACCCTAGATATTCAAAAGTATTTTAAATGAATATTAGTGACTAGTGTTAGTAATGAAATTAATATATACCTCAAGACCAACAAACGCGTTGAGACCACGTTTAAATTCTTTCAGTGGTTGATGAAAACTTAGACATGTCGGCAATGGAAAATTAAACAATACCTGATCATCAGGCACAATTTTTTCAAATACTTCTCTTGATATATATGGCACACTTCCACGCTAGAAAAATCGCAAAAAAACAATAATAACATTATTGTAAAGGATGTGGAATTTTTTACTTTAGTGTAAAACATGAAAGCCGGAGTGACAATTTGAGAGTTTGAGTGTTTTAGCGTCCCGAGTCTGGGTCCATTTGCCGGTGGTATGTCATTGTGTCTGTCCGTGACTACCGAAAATCCGGCTTGCTCCATCGATGATGTTTGAAAGAAAATGACGTCGGCAGGAGAAGAAAAGTAGGGTTGTTAGTAATAATAAAATAATTTTGCTGCTGACAAAAGTGAAATAACCAAAATTGAAAATAATTAAATTGTTCAAAGCTTAAACATTTTGATTTCAAATGCTACTTTACATATCAACCACGCGGGTTAATCGTTATCAGTTTTTTAGAAATGGCAATGATTATGTTATCAATGGTAATTGAGTAAAACATAATCTTACTTTCTGAGATTACACATTTCCTCAGTATTCATAAATTATTGATATCAATTTTATATAATGATTATAATGTAAATAGTTTTAATTTTTATTAGTTTTTAGAGTTTTTACTATAAGGATCGCGTCGGTCTTAGATAATTTCACATAATTATAATATAAAATCATAACTCATAAATGAACCTTTAATCATTTTATGTGTATTACAATTTACAATAGATACAAATTATACAATTTTCTATTAGAAACTATTCTCGAATTGAATATAAAAGCATTTTTTCTGCTCAAAAATATAATAAGTGACAAAAGAAAACATATCATTATAAGACTATTCACAGAACAAATATTTTAGTGTTTATAGGGTATATCTTATACGCAAGTTTATACTCAGTATTTAGAGACAATATTTAGTTTTGTTCTTGTACAATGAATGCAAAAATAAATAAATATAATACGATGAATAGTAGTAAAATGTTTTTAAATTAAAAATTAATTTTTAATCTTTATCATTATGAACTTAAATAAAAAATTGCCATGATACATATTAGATATTTACAATATTAAATGTAAACAAATGATTTATAAGATACAGTAAAAGTAGAAATTATATTTTTAACTTTATGAAGATAAAATAAGTATTATTAAATTGTAAATGATATAATTTACTTTATAATATTTATTAATTATTATGTTATTCATGCTATATTTCTTGATATAATGTAAACATCAAAAACAGTTTTTCATTTCACTTAATAACTGCTAATATTAAAACAGTTTTAATGAAAAAATAAGTTAACACATTTTTATTATCATACATATATAATTTATTTAAAAAATGTAGGCATTATAATTAGTTATGTTGAGAATCTTAATTATTTACTTGGTAATTATAATACAAATTTGTTTTTATTGCTGATTATTTTTTGGTGTACAACTATTAAATAGAGCTTCTTTAATTGTTTGAGACATTAATCCACATAATATTTCGATTGTAGCTTTATTACTATCCTTAGTAGCTTTTACCAATTTATTTTCTGTTTTAGTACGGTCAACAGGCTCAAAAAATGTACGACTCAGAGAAGTGTCAGCTTGTTCTAGTTTATCAGAAAGATCATTTATTTGACCAGTTAAGTAATCAGCATTTGTTATCAAACTGGACGAACTTAAAGTGTTCACCCAATACTTATTCCATAATGAATCCAATAAACGCCGATCCAGGGAAGATTTGAAATAATTTACTTCTAATGAATAGTATTGTTTACAGTGTACTCCAAAGTCTTCAATTTTATTTAATGGAATAGTCTGATACTCGGATGGTTCTTCATTTGCTGGTTTATAACCCTACAAATTGTATTTATGTTTTAAATAGCATAATAATAATAGACATAAAAAGAACAAATATTAAAAAAACTTTATAAACTTGCCTTAGGATAAGTACGGAATGCTCCCAAACAAACTTTACCAGCTGAAATTGTTCTAACTGGATCAATTACAATTGCTACAAAAGGTTCTTGAAAATTCTGATTTAACATTTGAGTTGAAACATCAATACCTGATAACCAGCAGCCATAGCCAGGGTGGCTGTGATACCATCCAATCGCATTTTCTTGACGTCCAACCTAAAATATTTAAAAATTAACAATATATAATTATGAAATAAAATAAATTCTATTAGTTATGATTTATTATTTATTAGGTACATTAATTGAAAAATACATCAAAAAATAATTTATTTAAATTATATTAATAATATGACTAAAAATAATTGTACTTTAAAATAAATTGTCACACATATGCTATAAATAAATCCAAAATAAAAGTTCAAATATAATACTGAAAAATAATCAAAAATTATATTCAAACAGCTTATTTTTATTTCATGAGCAAAATATATGACTTTATGAACATATCAAGTATTCTGACAAAACCTAATAGTTTTGCAAACATATCTATAACTGATAATATAAACATTACTTACTTAAATATACTTTATATAAACTTACAACTTTAGCGGATTCAATATATGCTGTCATGTATTCATAAGCTTGAGCTTGAGCATTGACTCTGGTTTCTGTTCCTTCAACAGGTAAAGCAAAAGAATCCATGACGATCATAGTATTACCTTCTACTTTACCAAGTAAAAGACCCATTATTTCCAAAATACCACCAGATCGAGCATGCATGACCATTTTAAGTAGTGCTAATGCAGATATTTTAATATCTTTAAAATAATGTGGGCTGAAAAAATTAACAATAGAAAACATTACATTAATACCTAATATAGAATAAATTTGTTAAAAGGGATGGCTTATGGGAATTGGCCCTTTAAACTTGTAAGATTACAGAAACTTAAACAGGCATAAAGTTGCTAATGATAAATTGGAAAATTTTAAATCTAATTTCAACTAAATTTAACTCATTGACTCATAATTATTTGAATAAATGAATAAATAATATTGTACACGTAAGTGTCAAAAACAAAAACTAATTAATATGACAAATATATATGCCAGAGTATTTTGAAATCAATAATTATAGTTTATCAAAAATACAATATGAACATACTCTTTCTCCCAAGGTTTGGCAGTCAAAATATCTTGTTGTTGTTGTTTGTCATATTTGAATATGTCGTCGACTGTATTAACAGTTTGTACATTGTTTTCCAATTCCCACGTCTTTTTGGCAATGATTTCTTGGGAATCCCTCGATGTAGACGCCATACTAATGAACAACCCAAACATGTGCATTAGTTAAAATATAAATGTTGTCTATATTGGAAGTTAAGATCATGACAAAGTTTTTAGTTTACTATAAGAATATCTGAATAGAATAGATAATAAACAAAATATTTAATAAATTAACTACCTAACTAATACATAAATTCAATTAATATTACCTTCTAAATTGTCAACCAAAAAATAAGAATAATTTATTAATTTTTTCAATTTTTTGTTTAAAACAGAAAATTTAACATTGATCACAAAACAAGAATAATGGATAGTGATAAGGAATTCACTACCGACATGACAATATACTTCTTATCACAATTTTTTTAAAAATAAATTTTTGGTACCACTGTATTACTTTTATTGTTGTGCATGTTGTGCATATTTAAATCACTGAATACACAAAATTTTAATTTGCGGATCAGGATATCTAAAATTTACCTAGGGGCTTGAATAATAATCTTTATGATTATGACATGACAAATGACTTGAATTTGTCAATTGGGACGTTATGAATATTAAAATTCTGTTGTAATTGTTTCTTTAGAGAGATGTTTAATGATGACTTAAGACTTTGTTTTGATTTTTTGAAAATAATTTGATAGAAAATGGAAAGTTCAGTATAAATTGGATTCATTCGTGTATGTCATTAATTATTTATATACTAATATTTTTTTTCCGTAATTACATTAAATGCTGGGCACCATTGTACGATAGTTTTACTTACACTCCTAAAAGTACCGACACAGAATAAATTAATTTTATTATTTCATTTATTCTGTGGCACCCAACCACTATATTGTTTAACTATATGTTGTTTATTATTAATTTTTATCACTATAGAGCAGTGGTTTTCAACCTCTTTAACAATGTAGCACACTTCTACAAAATTTTTGTGGCACACCAATTCATATAATACGTGAAGCATATATTTTTATATATAATATATAATATATATACAAAATTAACTCCATTAATAGATTTATCGCGGCACACTTCAATGGCGCTCGCGGCACACTGGTGTGCCGCGACACACCGACACCGGTTGAAAATCACTGCTATAGAGTAACGTACCAGTTAAATTCGTCCCCGGAGAAGTCCATTGGGAAGTATCATGATGTGATGAACCATTGCATATCGACGGATATCTGGTCCCTTGGTGTAATTGGTATCAAGGGCGTACCCTGAAATTTTTCAAAGAGGTCCACATTTTTATGTGATTAATTATAAATATTTATGATTTGTTACGTTTTGCCAACTGTAATGATATGCTCACACATAATTTATTGTACATTTTATTATTTCATTAAATAAATAACGGTAAAGTTGTCGCACGCAGATAGCCCTCAATAAAAACCAATAACCCCTATTGATCACTGATGAGAGAAACGATTTACATTGTTTGGTCAAGTAGGAACTCACACGTTATTGTGACAATATGGCGCAAAGCGTGTGATTTATTTTCGTGTTCCGCCAGAGACATTGGATGGTCCAATGAGGCTCTCCGTCGTTGGAGAGAAAGCCGAATTCTCTAAGGACGTGGAGGCCTTTATTGGAGCCACCTGCGACCCTGGCTGTCTTGACCACGTCGTCTTCTCTCGCCAGCGCATGAACACCAACCAAACTATCGAGTGCATGAGCACCGACAAAATTACAAGTGCAGGCGCACCAGACAAGCGAGCAGGAGCTCTACTCAAAAACCACCATACACCTCACACCACAAGATTCTGCGAGCGACAGCTGAACTTCCATTTTTATAAGTTAAATCAGAGTTGTTTTTCTTACTTAAACTTAAGTTTTTCTTAAGTCGTATCGTAAATTGTATCACCTTGCATCCTTCTCCGAGGAACGTACTACAGGTATTCACTGCGGCGAACCAGGTAAGGTGCATGCCCAAAATACTTATTGTTAGTATAGATTCTTTTACCATCTAATTTACATAACGATGTATTTGATTATATTCTCGAATCACGATCTCGAGAACCTTCCGAAGAACAGGAGGAAGGCAATAACACGAGAACAAGTAACGGACTTACATACAAGGCTTGAGTCCCTTGTGTCAGTCCGGCCGCATCTCCCCTTACTTTTAACTTCTTTATTTATACTTTTAATTTCTCTTATTTTTGTGTTATTAGTTATTACACAACCGAACATGGGAGACCGATAAGCAGTGCATTGCATATACATGCATATTGTAATGGTGATCGGAGAACGTACTGCCGTCTGGCACAGTGGCCCATTCTATTTGATATTTTATTATAATATACATTATACATTTACGATATAAAATATCAATTAAACTATATTGTACAATCTGTTGTTTGTACTTTTAGCATTCAATTAATCAATGGGGGGTCTATACCAGGAAACCTCCCTTGGGTACGCCCCTGATTAGTATCATGTATGTATATAATTTAATAATCATATTTATTATTTCCTATTAACCATCTAGAGAAGCCCAGTGGTTTTTGAATTTATTGATATCAATACATACCTACATGTGTTTATGAAATGAATATGTGTTTTCTTTTACCATTGATTATAGAATAATCAATGCTTTTACGTTCTAAACATAATAATTCATTATTTTCATACTTTTTCAGACTACGTTTCACGCTCATTTTTTTGGCACTAACTTCGTTTTATTTAATACGCAAAATTCTTAATACATCCATCATTATTGTGTTATGAGTTTTTTTTAACTATTATCATTATTTTTATTTAGTTTTATCTTATGTTCTTACATTTATCTTAAATCTACAGGACTCCGAATATTTTAGGTCTCAGCTCGTGGTTGGTAATCTAGCCCAAAGTAAGACTACCACACAGACTCCACAACATTCGGTTTCCGAATTATTGTTATAATGGCGAAGAATTGAACGGTCATGCACAAGCGGTTATATAATAGGCAACTCATCGTACGAATCAAATCGTAAAATTGTCAAAATCTTATACATTTTTCCTTTATTTTGACTGTTACCTTAGGTTATGAGCACAGCTAGGATGATAGGATTTCAATCAAGAGGGTGGCAGTTGATAACTCTTTTTGTTGTTGCTTTTTTGATTTTATAGTAAAATGTATACGTTTAGTATGAGTAATAGAATTTAGTTTAAAGTGCAGGAGGAGCGTACTTGCCCCCCCCCTCGCCACGCCTACGCCACAAGTACTTGCACTACGTTTATAAAAAACTTCTAAGAACGCTCTTATGCTTGGATTTGAGAATGTTAGTCGAAGGTGAACAAAGTGAACATCGGTTGTTTAATAAATGTATTATTGTTTATCAATATAAATACTTTTTACTTCTGAAAATGTGTTTGCAAGATATCTTTTAGTTTCTACATTATTTACGACGCATAATATTAAGAATATTACAATATTTGATAAATAATAATCTTTTGTTTATAACATTTTTATATCTTCAAACTAAATTAGAATTTTTGAAAGTTTTTAAGTATCATTCGTTACAACATTGTAATTTTAATAGTTAAATTGATTTGTACAGATTAATTTTACTTTTTTAAACACCGAATATAAACCAGAACCCCAGTGAAAGATTTTTTTCAATATTGAATTTGATATTTCTAATAAACATTTTTATTTAAATAAGATAAAAAAAGTTTTATTATGTGATTGAATTAAAACAGTTACTATGTTAAATTTATAAATACTGAACTGTTAAAATACAAATCTATTAATCATGATTATTCTACAATTTTCATAGCCATCCAACCGAATAGGTAATGAAAACATTTACAATTTATTTTTTCAAAGGCGCCTTATGGCCATGTGTTATCTGAAAAAAATAAAAAAGGCCTGATAATCAGGTTTAATACATTTGATATTGTATTGATTTATATAGAGTCAATCGGTTAATATGGAGCCTGTTGTTCTGTAGTAAAATGTAAAATTACTTTATACTTTACAGTCTAGAGATTGCCTACCGATGGGAAATTTGATCTTATCAATAACACTAAAGAGTATGGCTGTAGATAGTATTATCTATAAATTGTCTTCCATGCCATCCACCCATGCGGCATGCAATTGAATTGTGGGAAATATATTTTGATTATGTTAAACCGCTTGGACTCGATGTTCGACTGTTATATTTGATAATGAAATATGGCGGTTTTTTAATGTAAACATTGTGTAAACACTAAAACTAAATACAAAACAATTATTAACATCACAAATTTGACTATAATATAGTAAAAATATATAGTACTTTTATTGAAACAATTACTGTGTTTTCATTAGTTTAAAAACTCATGCTCAATGGCGTGTAAAGATTTTTTTATTTATACTGATCGAAATAAATTGCTAACACCCTCTTCTACAGAGTATAGGGTTGAAAAGCTATTAAAACCCAAAGAATTGAAAAAATCTATAAAAGGTGAGACATTTTACAGAAATAATTTGAATATTAATTTATTTGTTTTTAACTTTTTAGCATGTCACGAAGAATTAAATTCAGAAGGTGCACAGTTTATATTTAAAAATTTTGATAAACTCTTTTCAGTGATTGAGTTTATTGATCAGATTGACTATCAAGACTTACATTATGTTTATGAAAATATTCTTGTTAAGAGTAAGTTAAATTATACTTATATTAATTTGTCATTAGTTTTATATTGAGTAGAAATATTTTTAAGATACCTATTACCTAGTTAATATTATTATAAACCTATATAATATGTTATATTTGTTAAATTCAGTTTAGACATGTCAGATCTACTCTTTTAAACAAAGATATCATTTAAATTATTATTGTTTTCAGTATAATACTAATCTTGTTTTATTAATACTAGGTAGCTATTATTTTTTAACTCAAATGTTTTCCTATACCAGTTATTCTCAATTTTTTTTGTTTCAGTGGCTCATAAATTTACTTTTTATTGAATAGGCAACTCCCTACCATAAAAAAGCCGAATTCTTATGCCATAATATAGTAATATTAATAACACTTTTTATTATAAGAAATGTTATCATTTAATTTTAATATAACACAATACAGAATCATGAATATTTTGTTTTTCTTAAATATAAAGATTATTTTTAAGTTAAAATGAGTTTTTATTTCCTTGTTATTAATTTAAAAATAACATTCCATTAAAAATATTTTGTGATGCAACTTTTATTTGCGATCCATTGGTTGGGAAACATTGAACCACATTATCTAATGAGAAGTCTGAGGACTTGTTTACTAAAAGTAAAAACATAGCTTTTGAAGC